ACGTTATAAAGGCGTCGTTCTCATATTCCATATTTCTTCTTGATCACGATGGCTCCGTGATCGTCTCCCTTATCCACTCCGCCACCGGGCCCCGCAATTTGTTAGCTCTTCCCCTAGATATACTTGTACCATATAAAGCCTCAAACTATTGTGCACCCCGTCCAAAACACAGACTCTATTTTTTTTATTTTCGTTACAGTAATTCTATATGTAAATACAGTTTTTTGTAAGTGTTGCAGTAACAATTTTTAAATGCTCCAGTATCCTACCTGAGTTACAGTATGATGCCACAATAATGTTTTTAAACGTTAAAATTCATGCATGTGCTACAGTAATTTATTGTAGCATGAATAGCGAATCGTAGATCATTCTCTCTGTGCCACAGTAATAATGCTACAGTAATTTATTGTGGCATAAATAATATATCTTGGATCATCTCATTATTATAGATGAATAGATATAAAAACTTACTTTTATTTATCATGTATTTATATCTTAATTAGAATAAGATATAAATAATATAAAGTTTCTGCTTTTGGGACCTGTACACATTTTTCCCAAGTTAACAAAACAAATCTAAGAGCGCGAGAAAGGGGGAAAAAAGAAGGTGAAATAATGACAAAATACTCAATCTCAAATTTCTCATTCCTTAAAAGAAAACGTCAGGCAAATACTACACTCATATTCATATGAAAACTCCTGATCATCAACTAATCATTAACTCTAAATTAAAAAAAATTAAAATTTGTATACATAAAACTTATTCCGGGAACAACCTTTGTTAGGAGAAATAAAGGTCCACCAATTTGCCTATAATAAAAAAATTATTTGCAGTGGCTCTACAATCATGAGAACTAATAATAGAAACATTTAAACTTGTCAAAACAATACTTACATCATTCTAAAAGAGGTTTTTTATCACGTGACCGACACCGCCACGAGATCTATCTCGAGCTTCTCTCTCTCTCTCTCTCTTACTATCTAATTTTTTATATTATTATCATTTTACAATTTTTAACTTTTAACGAGGCAGCAGCTAAGTGCCAAACTTAAACCACCAATTAAATACCTAGACGTAATCTTAAATTAGTGGGCCCGGCCTCAATCATGGACTGCAGCCCACTACCCCGTTCATCTCGGACGTATAAGCCGATGGGGAATAAATTTCTTAAAAAAAAATTTGACCCAAGTTCTCACTGGGCCCACCTTTCATCTGCTTTCTTCGTATAGCGGCTACTTTATTAGGACTTTGGAATCTTTTTACTTTATAGGAAAGTTGAAGAGTTTACATTTATTTACCCATTTATTTATTTATTATGTATTTATGCCCTCATTATTATGTTATTATATATGTTGTTTTTGAGAGTGGGAAGGAGCGAGGAGAGGGTGCTCGAGAGTTTCGCGGGAAGAAAACGGCGGCCTTTTCTTCGAACTTATTTTCAGGTAAATTTACCATTTTTATGGCTTTTATTGAATTTCTGTCGTGGGTTCTTGAGTTTTCAGTGCCAAGGTGCGATCTTGGCATTGGGTTTTCTATTTTTAGCCTCATTGCTTGAAACCCATTAAATAAGATTTAATAATTTATTCTTTCTTTTTTTCGGAGAAATGTTTTAATTATATGGTTGTTTCAAAGTAATATGATTCTCATAGCAGAGTGAGTATTCTGGTTCATAAGTATTCTTGATATAGAGAATTATTTGATTGTTCATGTAATCTCTTGTGAATCTTATTCACATCGCTTCATCTCCGTGACGTTTTATCTCTATTAATCTAGATACTAATTCGATACCGCTTATATTTTTATTTGTTGGTTTAGATTATCTCTTTTAAAATCAACAAAAACGAAATTCGCCGGTTCGATTATAAGTATTGGTTTGATTTCTTTTGCGCAAGAGGAAGTAATGTTAATACTCTCTTTTTTTTTTTTTATGTGCAGAATGAATGATGAAAAAGGGTGTGTGTGGATTTATCCTCTTATATATGTACTGCTATTGATGAAAGTTGAAGGCCTTTATGTGGATATAACTTATGTTCAGAGTGCTGTAGCCAAAGGAGCAGGTGAAATTCTTTGATCATCCAATTGCTTATACTTCAACAATAACCAATTTCCTCCATTTTTTTTTCCTATATCCATTTCGTCGGCTTTATAGTGATACCGCTCATATGTTACTTCTGTTTTCAGTTTGTTTGGATGGGAGTCCACCTGCTTATCATTTATCTCCAGGTTTTGGCTCAGGGGTAAATAACTGGTTGATTCACATGGAGGTTAGTTAGTATCGATGACGTTTATCTGTTTCTTTATTTATTGCATTTTACATGCTTTGCAAGTGGATATTGTAACAAGAACAAGTTTTACTGAAATTTCCTCCAATTTATAGGGAGGGGGTTGGTGCAACAATATAACGACATGTCTTTCACGCAAACGCACCCGTTTAGGCTCTTCAAAGCAAATGTTGAAGAAGCTGCCTTTTTCTGGAATTTTAAGCAGCGAGCCAGGATGTAATCCAGGTACTAAATCGAAAACTGCTTATCATAATGTCGACTCGCCTTTTTTTGTTTGGATTTGGATTATGCATTTGGTACTATAAGTTAAGCATCAATCTTCCTTCTCATCGCTTATACTGATTTTTCCTGGTATGCACAGATTTTTACAATTGGAACAGGGTCAAAGTTCGTTACTGTGATGGTTCATCCTTTACTGGAGACGTCGAGAGAGTAGACCCTGTAAGTTAGAACAACTTCTCTTTTCCTTGACGCAATATGCACCTGTAGATTAAAACCTCGAGGAATAAAACTTGATTTCTATTTGAATACCCAATATGTAGTCCACAAATCTTCATCATAGAGGAGAAAGAGTATGGACTGCTGTTATGGAAGACTTGCTTGCGAAAGGAATGAACACTGCACAAAATGTATGTTCATCTCTACAAATTTCTCTCAATTCTTGTAGGATCATTCAGGTACCCTACGATATGGTGCAATTGTGTGACTCTGCATAGGTAACCTTGAGATTACTAATTGTCTCTACACGGGAAAAAAAATAATAAAAAAAAGACTCCAGGATTGCCCATGTAACTGCAATCAGCCATTTCAAGGTTATCCATAGAGATACGTAACAGGGTACCTGGCTGCAATTAATTCTTTTCCGCGTTAACTTCATTTTGGTACATTATGAATTGTCTTGAGTGCTTTTCTTGCAGGCACTTCTTTCTGGTTGCTCGGCTGGTGGATTGACATCCATGCTGCACTGTGATAATTTCCATTCACTTCTACCAATTGGTGCAAGAGTGAAATGTCTATCAGATGCTGGTTATTTTATCAACGTGTAAGAAAATTTTTAATAAAATTTATACTCCTATTTATTTGTTACTGAGTTCCTATACTTTTATGTTATGTTCAGGGGAAATTGAAAATAACCCCCCTCATCTATTCCTTCATTAGCACTTATCACCGCTCAATTCAAGAGGAAGCGAGGGTTATTTGCAATGCAAAATCCCTTATATCATTATTTAGATGAAGAGGAAGTAAGGTAATAATTTACTTACTATGAGGTGCAATCCCGCCCCTTTTTTTTCTTGTAAAATTTTTTAATTGATTGCTATTGTATTATTCACTACAGAAAGGACATAGCTGGAGAGGACCACATCCGAGCTTTTTTCCATGATGTGGTGACAACCCATGTAAGTTTTTGATTTTTTCTGAAATTCTTCCACTTTCTCTTCCACAACCTTTTATCTTCATCTTGTAAATTTAGTTATATTTTTTCTCTATTCATACTTAGTTGGTGCACACATTTCTTTAAGGGATCAGCGAAGAATTTGCCTTCTCCATGCACTTCGAATTTGGAACCATCACTGGTATGTAACACAAACCATTTGAGGATTTCTGAAGTCTGAGCTTAATTACAATTATTTTCCTAACAATATGATCTGATGAAATTACAGTGTTTTTTCCCGCAATATACTGCACGTCTGATCCAAACACCTCTATTCATTCTAAATGCAGCTTATGACTCATGGCAGGTGTAAATTCTTTTCACTGGAAAATTTTCTTCCACAGAATCACAAAAATATAATGCTGTCAAGTTGTTTTTCTGCGAAGTAGGAATTTTAGTTGAAGCTTTGGATGATATTTTTTCCTCTTATGTAAATACTAGACAGTTAGTGTTTGATGTATCGAACTTAACTACTATTGACTTCCTACATCAATTTTTCCGATAAAATAAGCTCCTTTTCCTGCAGATAAAGAACATTTTAGCACCTGGTGTTGCTGATCCTCATGGTAGTTGGCATGCCTGCAAGCTTGGTATAGAGAATTGTTCTTCATCTCAGCTTGAAATGATGCAAGGTGCATTAAGTTACTACAACTCAATTACTCAGGTTTTGACATATAGCTTCTATAACCGATTCGTTATGAAAATTACTATGCCATTGTAGGATTTAGAAATGAGTTTCTGGCTGCACTTACAGAAGTTGGGAACTCAACATCAAGCGGCTTGTTCATAAATTCGTGCTATATCCATTGTCAATCAGAGAGGCAGGAAACCTGGTTTAGAGCTGATATAAATTCGTGCTATATCCATTGTCAATCAGAGAGGCAGGAAACCTGGTTTAGAGCTGATTCTCCCGTACTCGAAAATACTGTAAGCTCTAAAACAATCAGAGAGGCAGGAAACCTGGTTTAGAGCTGATTCTCCCGTACTCGAAAATACTGTAAGCTCTAAAAATTGAGCTCTAGTTAGTTTTTTTATAGGGTTAATTGCGGTTAGACCCTTGTACTATCACCGAACTGGGGATAGACCCTGTAGTTTTATTGTTGCAGATAGACCCCCGAGTGAAATTTTTGACTCTTTTACTCTCAGGAGGTTTATTTGCTAGGAAGAAATTCTCTTTTTACAGGGATTCTATCTGCAGTTAACCCTTTTTTATCTCAATATCCGTATTAACTTCAAATTCTATATTTTGCAGCCAATTGCAAAGGCAGTAGGAAACTGGTTTTACGATAGAAGTCCTTTTCAGACGATCGACTGTCCATATCCTTGCGATACTTCGTGTCAACATATACCTGAACCAAAATCAGAAGCATAGCAATTACAGAATCCACATGTACTGATTTCATTATTCATCATGTTATACTTGTTGCATTGATCAAGCTCGAAGAAAAAGCAACCAACCAAAAAAAAAAGGGGGTTCATATATAGGGTATAGAGTCTCGTAGAATAAGTCATAAAGGAAATTAGCTCTTCAATTGTGATGCATTCATTCTTCATTTATAATTCATGTATGGAGATTATATATTGACGAAATTAGCTCTTCAATTGTGATGCATTCATTCTTCATTTATAATTCATGTATGGAGATTATATATTGACTGAGAAATTTAATCTCCAAGCTCTGAGGCTTTTTTATTATTTTGTTTTCTGAGCCATAAACTATAATCAAGCCATATAGCAATTTTGGATTTCCTGTCTACATGTTATTGTCAAAGTGGAAACACATACTGAAATGGTGTGGAATATTTATTAAGATGGAATGAAAAAAAAAAAACCCTTGTAAATAGACATTGCTTCAGCTAAAAGAGATACATTAACAGTAGAACAAAGAGTCCTATTCTTATTAACCCTTATGATTAAAGGCCAAGTTATATAAGTTTTGTAAACCATAGGGTCAACAAGAAAAAAATTACAGTGGAGAAAATTTTCATTTTGGCTCAATAACGCCAAGTTAAACCCTCAAAATCCAATTCGAAGGAGAAGTTTCTTAAATTGATATTTTTTGTAGATTGCGGCCTTTAATTCCTTGAGTGAGAGAAAAAAAATGTTGGTATTGTTGTAAACTTAAGCTAGTTGGATACTTGTGTGTGATTTTTAAAAATGGGATGAGATGAGTTGTCACAATATTATTGGATGATGTGTGTGATTTTTAAAAATGGGATAAGATAAAATGTGATTAGTTGGATGATGTGACACATTTCTTGTGTTTGGTTTATTTTTATGTTCTCCTGCACTTTTGCCAAACTTAGCAAGTTAGGTGCTTATTAATACATTGCTGGGCATGGTGATTATGGGAAAGGAAAGCGATAATTTTTTTCATAATTATCTTCTTTAGGATTAAAATTTCGATTTTATGTATGTTACTCTCCAAAGGTTTGTTAAACTTAGATTCTGTTGGCTGTTTATTTCTCTATAATTTGCTTGGCTGTCTGGTTAGCTGCTTGCAGGGGTTTTAACTGCACTTTGCATGCGACTTTGAAGTCTATTGCAATTAACTGACAAGCGTAGTTTCAATTGTATTTGCAAAAAGAACCCTGCATGCAAGCAGAATCTGAGCATAAGTCACAATACACATGGTGCTCCTAAACAAACAATTGTGTAGCCGCAAACAAATACAATTTTAAAATCGAACAGAGAAATTGCAACTGCAAAAAAACTAATGCACAAAAGGTCGAAGGGATACAAAGCTCGCACTAATCTTTGAGATCCTCAGCTAATTATTCATCAACATTCATCGAAAATAAACCAATCCAGCCCGGCCCACTAGCGCTTAATGGGCCACATTAGATGCTGAGTTTCCTTGCACCCGAATTCTTTCGAAACCGAAAACTTCGAGCTCTCAAGTTTTTAGGGCTTTGGAGAGAGAAAACCTTAGACAATCTTCTTCTTCTTCTTCTTCCAGCAAGAATCAATCCCCAAAATCTTTCTAGGGTTTCATCAACTCAGTCCAGTTGCTACAGGGATGGCGTCCTCGATCACGGGCCAAAACGCTAAATCGAAGCGGCAGGGCGAGAGAAGGGGATCAGCTGATCATCACTCCGCTTGGGGCGGGAAGCGAAGTTGGTCGGTCTTGCGTTCATATGACTTACAGAGGGAAGACCATCATGGTAATTTATAAGCCCTATATTTGTTTCATCCCTTTTTTTAAATAAAAAAAAAATTGGTAGTAAAAGTGTTTTCTTTTTGCCGTAGTTTGATTGTGGGATTCATCCGGCTTACTCGGGGATGGCCGCATTGCCCTACTTCGATGAGATCGATCCGTCTCAAATCGATGTTCTTCTTGTTACTCAGTAAGCAATTGTTTTCTCAAATTTATGTGTCGGATTAGGAGAAGAATCTTATAAGGACTCTACATATGACCCGTTCAGATCCTACATCGAATATGTATGTGGGTATATAAATGTAGCAATATGTTTTTTACCTTAAAAATTGAATGAAATATAGGAAAACTTTGATGTTTAAAGCAGTAAAAAGATTTGTTGCAATAAAATTGCTATTATATTACCAAATTTCTACATTGGCATGTTGGTAACGTAGTTACACCGGTTCATGTACACTGTACAGTAAATGTATAAGATCAACATCTAGGATACAAAGACATCATGGCGTACGCACTCTTTAGCTTTGACCAAAACTTAGGAACAAATGTTTGTTTCATTAGCAGCAGGATGGCTTAGCATGCCATATTCATTTATTAAGTCTCAGAGTTTGATCTATAATTAACTGGTGAATTGATAGCGCGCATGAAGTATCTTGGTGCTGAAATTCCTTTCTTTAAACAAGAATAAGTTGGTTGTTGTAGTGTGAGAGGTATCTTTTAAATCGTCTATGCTATTGCTAATGTTACAAGCAAATCACTCTAGCTGAAAGTTGAAGTAATCGTACTGTTGGTCCTTTTCACTTGTAAAAAGAAATGAAGTGAGGAAGAACGCTTGGAAATTAACTCATATATCATTGATGCTGGCATAATAGAAATTTAATGCATCTGAACTTGAGGCAGGATCTTGTTATTTACTTTTCCCTTTCAAAGAAACTACTAAATAGAATGTAAATAAGAAGGTTTACCCGCAATACTCATAACATTAAGTTGATATGATAATACTATGTATCTTATTGAATTTAAAGTTTTGAATCTTTCTAAACTTTCAATCGCTTCGAGGTGACAATTTTGATGTAGCAGTGGTTTTCTGCAGTTTTCATCTTGATCATGCTGCTTCTCTTCCTTACTTCTTAGAGAAGGTACACAGTTTATACAATGTTCATCCGTCATAAAACTTCCATACTGTCATGCATTTATACTTGAATATTTTTACCTGGTTGCAGACTACTTTCAAAGGTCGAGTTTTCATGACTCATGCTACAAAGGCTATTTACCGATTGCTTTTATCTGATTATGTTAAAGTGTGCAAAGTTTCTGTTGAGGATATGCTGTATGATGAGCAAGACATCATTCGCTCCATGGATAAAATTGAGGTAGGTTTCTATATGAGACTCTCTTTAGTTGCTACCATCCTTCATTTTCTCCTATCGGTACCTGGAACTCTCATTATTATTCTTTACTAGTTCTGCCTAATATTTGTTCCATGCCACTTATAGTATATCTTAGCTTACAATGTGTCCTGAGCCTATACTTATGTATATAGGCTGACATTGTTATTGTTGAAATTGGAATCATGTGCATAAATTTTTTTTTTGCATACTTGATAAACAAATCTCTTTTACTTCCAACCTGATGAAGTATATTCTTTATTTATCATTTCTTCATTTTTTCCCCTTACCTTTTGTTTCTGCAACTTGTTTCAGCTGATATTTTCTACTGTTTCTAATAGTCGAGCATATAATTAATTTGGTATCCTATTTCTATTTGTCTTCTGGCATGCTTCTTAGACCTTCACATCCTTCTTGCTCCAGAGACACATAATCTCTTCAAAACTTTATTGTTACAGGAGAACCCTCCTTACATCATATTTCCTTTCAGGTCATTGACTTCCACCAGACACTGGAAGTGAATGGGATCCGCTTTTGGTGCTACACTGCTGGTCATGTTCTTGGTGCTGCCATGTTTATGGTTGACATCGCTGGTGTCCGAGTTCTTTACACTGGTGACTACTCAAGAGAGGAGGATCGCCATCTTCGTGCGGCTGAAACTCCCCAGTTTTCCCCTGACATTTGTATCATCGAGTCAACCTATGGAATTCAAACTCACCAACCTCGTCACGTTCGTGAAAAGCGATTCACCGATGTCATCCACTCGACTGTCAGCCAAGGCGGTCGAGTCCTCATCCCAGCATTTGCCCTTGGTCGAGCCCAAGAGCTACTCCTCATCCTTGACGAGTATTGGTCAAACCATCCCGAGCTTCATAACATACCTATATACTACGCTTCTCCTCTCGCCAAGAGATGCATGGCAGTGTATCAAACATACATCAATTCCATGAATGAGAGGATCAGAAGCCAGTATTTAAACTCTAACCCTTTTGATTTCAAGCACATTTCACCATTGAAGAGCATCGAGAACTTTGATGATGTGGGTCCATCAGTGGTGATGGCGAGTCCAAGTGGACTCCAAAGCGGGCTATCAAGGCAGTTGTTTGACAAGTGGTGTGGAGATAAAAGGAACGCCTGTGTAATTCCTGGGTATGTTGTTGAAGGAACTCTAGCCAAGACCATTATCAATGAGCCGAAAGAGGTTACTCTCATGAATGGCCTTATGGCTCCCCTCAACATGCAGGTTCACTACATCTCCTTCTCGGCCCACGCAGATTCTGATCAGACTAGTGCCTTTTTGGACGAGCTTATGCCTCCCAACATAATCCTTGTCCATGGAGAAGCCAATGAGATGGGCAGGCTCAAGCAGAAACTCATAACCCAGTTTGCAGATCGCAATACAAAGATCATGTCCCCCAAGAATTGCCAATCAGTGGAAATGTACTTCAGTTCCGAGAAAATGGCAAAAACAATAGGAAAGCTCGCTGAGAAGACACCGGAAGTTGGTGAAACTGTCAGTGGCCTACTAGTCAAAAAAGGCTTCACTTACCAGATTATGGCCCCCGATGACCTCCATGTATTCTCACAGCTATCAACTGCAAACATCACCCAGCGCATCTCTGTCCCATATACAGGTGCTTTTGGGGTTATAAAGCACAGGTTGAAGCAGATATACGAGAGTGTAGAGTCCCCAAAAGAGGAGACAGATGTTCCAACTATGGTTGTTCATGAGAAGGTAACAATAAGGCAGGAGTCGGATGAGTATGTGACGCTGCAGTGGCCATCGGATCCGATCAGTGATATGGTGTCTGATTCTGTGGTGGCTATGGTGTTGAATATTAGCAGAGAAGGTCCGAAGGTGGTTTCAACCGAGGAGGTTAATAAGACGGCGGAGGAAGAGACGGAGAAGATGACACAAAAGGTGATTCATTCTTTGTTTGCTTCCTTGTTTGGGGATGTTAAGGTTGTGGAGGGTAAGTTTTTGATAACCGTGGATGGAGATGTTGCGAGCGTTGATGGGAAGAATGGGGAGGTGGAGTGTGAGAATGAGGGGTTGAAGGAGAGGGTGAAGACCGCTTTTAGGAGAATACGAAGCGCTGCAGGGCCGATTCCTCTTCCGACGTCTTGATCAGTCCGAAGATTGTGCTGGAAATGGAGCTACCGCGAGTTACTGAGCATTATAGAGAGGTTTCATTGATGCATGTTCACACTGGATCTCTTCTTGTGATGCTGTTAAAGCTGTATGACTTGCTCAATATAAGCAGGGGCGTTGCGCCATTTTTAGGTTACTTTCTTGCAAGTGATTTTACCTGCTACCTTTTGTAATATTTGCCGCAAACGTTGGTTTTGATTTGATGTAAAATACCATGTTTTAATGCCATAAACAAGCTCTTCTTTCTTAGTTTAATCTTGTTTGCCGAAAACAGAGACTGTTGATTATTATCTGCTTTGGATTATGATATCATCACAAGCTGCCCTGTGTTATGTGATTTTTTTTTTAATTTGTGAAATTTGTGATTATCTGGTTTTATCTAAACTGTCCAAACTGTAATGTAAATTTTGCAGTATAAGCACTACTGTTTGCTATGTTCTCATCAGATCACAGTACTATTTACCTAGCACTCTGTAACTAAGAAGTTCTTTTCCAACCCCACTTACAAGTAGAAAGTATCAAATTCTTCGATATTAAATGTGTATTAAAGAGATGCAGTCACAACGGTTGACATTCGTTTAGGGGGTGTTTGTTTAGTTGTAAGTGAAAAATGTAAGTATGAAAGTCACTTATTTTTTAGATTTAACTTGTTTGTTTAGTTGAAAGTGATTATGAAAGTCACCTCAAAAAATTGTCCACGTAGGATCAAATTGCAAGTTCAACTTCCCCTAAAAATTCGCCGAAGTGAGACGCAAGTGAATAAATGGGACCCACGTCACATTAAAAAAATTTCATAACGCAAGTGAATAAATGCTGGGTTCATGATCTTAGCTGCGGAGCACATTGGCAGAAGAGCAAAATATTTATAATCTTCGGAAGGAATGCCAACAGAAGGATGCAATAATAGACAAGCTAACTGCTGAAGCTCATGAATCTAGCATTGCTCACTCCAAGGTGCTTGTTATGTTTTTCTTTTTTTTCTAAATAATTTGCCTACAGTAGAACATTTTCTTAGCATGTTTTTTTATTTCTTCGTCATAATAGAGAATTTCAGAGTTGGAAGAAATCATAAGAAGGAAGAACATGATTATAACAAAGCTGAAAAAAGGCCAAGCTGGCCTCAGAACAACGAGTAAAAGTAAGCTATCCTGCTTTTGTTCAAAATGATGTCGGCCCTGGATATTGTTCAAATTGATAAATGGAGATGGGAAGCAATTTATATAAAAACATGATTTTTAATATATAATTAAATTAAAATAATGTTGCCACATCATCCTCACTTTACTACTTTCAACAATAACTAGTTTTTGTAAACAAACAATGAATGTGACTTGTATGCTGACTTGGATGCGTTAACCCACTTACAAAAAAAGTCACTTTCATACTTTCAACTCACTTACAACTAAACAAACACCCCCTTAGTGCACGTTAAATGTCATGAACCAGAGCCATTAGATACTTTCTCCGAAAGCAGTATCAACGGTTGACATTCGTTTAGTGCACGTTATGAACCAGAGCCATTTGATACTTTCTCCGAAAAGTCTAGATACAAGCAATCAAATCTCAAACTTATCTATCCACTTACAAGCAATCAAATCTCAAACTTATCTATCCACTTACAAGCAATCAAGCACTAGAAAGGCTGCAGCAAACCATAAATGTGTTTTTGAGACTCTAAATCCAATCTATATACTTGCCACATGGAAAAAGAAAATTATTTTACATACGATCGAAGCTTAGCATTGTAGCTACTTGATACGGTGACACCCCACCCAAAAAAAAAAAAAAAACTAATTAAGTTACATGCTTACACATATATAGCATAATTTTGATTGATATTTAAACTCGCCCTTCCCAAAGACACTCAAGCCCAGGCCCATCATTACCAGCTCTCAACAGGATCTGCTCAATTTCTTGTGGCGGGTTCAGACCCATAGACTTGGCCCGCTCCAATCTCTCCAACCTCGTGAGCCCAATGCACGGCCCGTATCTGATGTCCATATCGAACCGCCTCAGCTTCATCTCCTCCTCCCCGTACTCATCTACACCCGCGAAGCAAAAACGAAATCAGGGTTAGGGTTTAACAATTGGAGTAGAAACTAGGGTTAGGGTTTCGTTCGTTCACCGTCGAGATCGTAGGATCCGTGGGAGACGAGCGCCGGAGTCTGCGGGGGGTCGCCGGAGCCCAAGGTGGCGCTTTTGCGCGGCTTCTTCGTTGTTGAGGAAGACGAAGGTTTGGATGCGGTGGTCTTCTTCTTTTGCTTGTAGAATCCCTTCATGTCTTTTGATGCCATTGTGAACTCTCCCTCTCTCTCTCCCTCTCTCTCGCTGTGTTTTTAATTTTGGATTTTAGGGTTTCGAATTGAAATTGGGGGTGATTTTTAGGGCCAGGGGGGTGGGTTGCGTTGGATTGTTGTCAGGATGACACGTGGACGGTTGCGATGGAATGATCTGGCTATTCTTTTTGACTTCCACTATTTTACACCGTGTAGGATTCGGGTTGGACTCATAAGATCCGTTAACAATCCAAACCCATTAGAAAAAGGGTGGCACTAGAGGCACACCTTGTGCCACACCTTGGGGCACACCCCTCTCTCAGCTACAGGGCAGGGGACCCACTTGAGATTTATTTAAAAATCTCAAGTGAGCCCCATGTACTATAGCTGAGAGAGAGAGAGTTGTGCCCCATGGTGTGGTACAAGGTGTGCCTCTAGTGTTTTCCTTAGAAAAATAACATATTAGGTGCCAAATTATTTATTTACCAACAAATTATTATGGAAAAATTGCTTCAAGACCCCAAAATTCAAAAAGTCATGTGACCCAGCCCCTCATACTTTTGATTATGTGCTGCAGCCCAAAAAATGAAGATTCTTTATGATTCAGTCCTTATTACAATTTCCAAGAAAATAAATCCCCAAAAAACCCCAAACTACCCCTCTTCTTCCAGTCCTTATTACAATTTCCAAGAAAATAAATCCCCAAAAAACCCCAAACTACCCCTCTTCTTCTTTTCTAGATCTTCTTCTTCTCCAGATCTTCTCATTCTTCCTCTTCTTGCTCCGCTCTTCTTCATCTCGACCAACTCCACGCCCTCTCTCTCAAACTCCAGCGCCGCCTCATAAGGTGTTACCCCCTCCCTCAACGCCGCAGTCGTCGCCGTCGCCGCTCCAGCACCCGTCGTGCCCCTCCTCAATATTTCGGGTCATCCTCCACAGCCTCCTCAACTCCGCCACCACCGCCACATCGGTCACCCTCATCTTGTCGGGTTCAGTTCTTCATTTAATTTCATGTTTTTTTTGTTTAATTAGTTGAGTTAGAGAAGGAGATCTCGTGTTATGTCCTGTTATCTAACAAAACCCATGACCGCATTGCCTTCAAGGTATTTCTCATTGATTTTCCAGTTAAATTCAATAAATAAATAAATATTAAAAAGAGGGGAAAAGATTGATTGTTTTGGGTTTTTTTGGCTTGTTTTAGGTTATGGCATCCACCTGGAATTGCACAATGTGGCCCAACAGAGAGATCCTCTTGCCACAATCCACATCCTCCCCAGACTTCAGATTAGTTGCATCAAGATGAAAATGAGTATCAGTGTATTGTGAAGTTATGGATTATTACACTAATGTAATTCCATCTGGGCCTTTTCCTTAATCTGGTGCCTCAGTAGGCACAATGTTATTTGGCTTTCATCTTGCCTTAAACGTAGATGTAATAGCTAAATATTTTTGTATGTATGTAGTAACTGTGTATATGAACTGAAATACTTTTGTAGGGATGTGAACTATAATGAAAATGTGATATAAAATTGATGCACAAATTTATCCTATTAACTATTAAAATACTTATATAAGTCATTAACTATTGAAATACTTTTGTTAGCTTGTTAAGTTACTCTGTTAGATTGTTAAGTTACACAGGTAACATGTTAACTTTTTTTGGTAGCTTGTTAAGTTACACAGATAACATGTTAACTTTCACAGGTAGATTGTTAAGTTACACATGTAACATGTTAATTTTTATTGGTAGCTTGTTAAGTTACACAGATAACATGTTAAAGCTTCAGGCTTCCTTTCAACGGATAAAGCATCACAAAGAGCTTGCTTTGCCATTTGGATGTCAGTTTGAAGTCTCCTCTCCCATTGGCATGAACCTGAATATAGTTAACAAGCACCGTAAAATAGTTAACATGAACCTGAATATAGTTAACAAGCACCCTCAAATAGTTAACATGAACCTTAATTAGTTAACAAGCACCGTAAAATAGTTAACATAAACCTGAATATAGTTAACAAACACCTTAAAATAGTTAACATGAACCTTAATATAGTTAACAAGCACCCTCAAATAGTTAACATGAACCTGAATATAGTTAACAAGCACCGTAAAATAGTTAACACGAACCTGAATATAGTTAACAAGCACCTTAAAATAGTTAACATGAATCTGAATATAGTTAACAAGCAACGTAAAATAGTTAACATGAACCTGAATATAGTTAACAAGCACCGTAAAATAGTTAACATGAACCTGAATATAGTTAACAAGCATCTTAAAATAGTTAACATGAACCTAAATATAGTTAACAAGCACCGTAAAATAGTTAACATGAACCTGAATATAGTTAACAAGCACCGTAAAATAGTTAACATGAACCTGAATATAGTTAACAAGCACCGTAAAATAGTTAACATGAACCTGAATATAGTTAACAAGCACCGTAAAATAGTTAACATGAACCTGAATATAGTTAACAAGCACACATGAATCTGAATATAGTTAACAAGCACCTTAAAATAGTTAACATGAACCTGAATATAGTTAACAAGCACCTTAAAATAGTTAACATGAACCTGAATATAGTTAACAAGCACCATAAAATAGTTAACATAAATGAATATAGTTAACAAACACCTTAAATTAGTTAACATGAACCTGAATATAGTTAACAAGCACCCTCAAATAGTTAACATGAACCTGAATTAGTTAACAAACATCCTCAAATAGTTAACATGAACCTGAATATAGTTAACAAGCATCCTCAAATAGTTAACATGAACCTGAATAAAGTTAACAAGCACCTTAAAATAGTTAACATGAACCTGAATATAATTAACAAGCACCCTCAAATAGCTAACATGAACCTGAATATAGTTAACAAGAACCATCAAATAGTTAACATGAACCTGAATATAGTTAACAAGAACCATCAAATAGTTAACATGAACCTGAATATAGTTAACAAGCACCTTAAAATAGTTAACATGAATCTGAATATAGTTCTGAATATAGTTAACAAGCACTGTAAAATAGTTAACATTTTAAGAGCCTTCTCGCCTTCTTCTTTTCTTGCATATCCAGCAATTAGAGCATTCCATGAGATTTCGTTCTTGGAATCCAACCGATCAAACACAAAACAAGGCTCATCCATCTTCCCAAAACGTGCATACATATCCAACAATGAACTCCCAACAAACACATTCAAGTTGCAAGAATATTTAACACTTAAAGCATGAATTTGTTCCCCAATTCCAACACTTGCAGCAGAACTAGTGGCCTTCAAAAGGCTCGCAAAAGTAAACTCGTTAGGTTTCAATCCAAGTGCGAGCATTTTAGGAAGCAACTCCAATGCCTCTTTAGGATGATCATTCTGTGAGTAACCAGTTATAAGCGCAGCCGTGTTGACCATATCTTTAACAGGCATTTCATCAAACGCTTTGTGGGCATCGATCAAGTACACACATTTGCAGTACATATTAATGACTGAAATTTGGAAGAAAGAGTTGCCTTGAATCTAGAACTCATGACCTGTAGTTGCTCAGCTTGTGCTCGCCTCCCATGATCCTAAAACTCATGACCTTCTTCTCGTCGTCGAAGATTTCGAGGTGCTTGGTGCTGCTGACGGCGGGGATGCTGGAGATAAGGCGGACCTCGCGGAGGCAGCCGGCGGTGAGGGAGGAGTCGCCGTCAAGGAGGCGGAAGGACTTGACGAAGCTCTTGTAGGACTGGGGGGAGTCGAAGCAGTGGAGGAAGGAGACAGAGGAGGGAGGTAGGAGATGGGGAAGGAAGAGGAGGAAGAAGTGTGATTTTGGGGGGAAGATGACAGTGATTTTGGGAGGGGTAAAATTGGGTTTTTTAGGAAACCATGAGCTGGAGTCATGATGGAGGGGTTTGGGCAAAAAAATTTTAAAATTTTGGGGCTGCAGCACATAACCAAAAGTATGAGGGGCTGGGTCACATGACTTTTTGGATTTTGGGGCCTTGAAGCAATTTTTCCATTTATTATCTACAGAAAAATATTGTACATAATATATCACCTCATTGTACATTAATATAATATTTTACATATTATTATCAAGCTAAATGAGCTGCCAAAAAATAGAACGGTGATATTCGTTTGCATCTAAAAGTGATGAACATAAAGTACTTGTCAATAATATAAACCTTGGTGGCTCATTAAAAAAAAAACATGTGCTTGTTTCATATGCAACCTCAATTGTGGTTTTGTTATTCCGACTCCCACATTATTATCTATTAAACAGCACAGCTTGCAGAATGGGGCCTCATCCCCAATTATGAGACCAATTCTGCAAAAATTAAAAAATTGACAAAACTTATTCAGAAAAGGGAGATGCTACGGGCACACCCTCGTGCACACTCCGATCATACCCCTTCTAGCTACAGTGCAGAGGACTCTACTTGAGATTTTTTTAAAAAAATATCAAATGGGCCCCTTACGCTGTAGCTAGAGGAGGATGTGACCGGAGGTGTGACTGTATTATTTTTCTTCAGAAAAATCTCCAAGCTGTCCGTTTATCATGACATCTCATTTGGACCCCCACACTCCCGCAGCAAACGACGGCCTTTTCCAAGGGTGTACCATGTATACGCCTCTATGTTTCAGCTGCGCGTAAAAAAACACAGAACATAAGTATTGGCTCCGACTCGTGTACGTGTTTCTATTTTCATCGGTAGAACTGCGTGATTGGTGTTGGCTGTTTTTTACGGCGGCATCTCGACGTTCGGTTCTACTGTTCCGGCGTAACTGCTTTGTGCAAAGTCGTAGTCCGGAACGGACGCGCCAGTTTTTTGGTGGCAGTGGAGAGCAGGCGCTATCGTGGTCCGGCACAGTAATTCACGTGGTTTGACCCTTGACTGGATTCAAAAGATTGGAGACAGCAGACAGATTGCTCGCGTTTTGGAAATAGTCGGAGGATCCGCTGTTGGGACTGTCGCATGCTAGTTGGGAGTTATAAATCAACGTTTCTTCTTATTTTTATGCTTAACGGGCGTTTCGTTGCACAATTTTATAGAATTTTTTTTTAAAATATTTGACAATGACAATTCTGTAATTTGAAATTTTCTGTAGATTTTGATTCAAAAAAAATTACAAAAAATATTTTCTTTAAAGTACAAAAAAGTATCAAAATTTACAAAATTAATTTTCTCTCAAAATGGTCGGAAATCACCCAGAAATCTGACACCACGTTGACATTTTTCTATAAAATTGACATTTTTCTATAATTTTAGGGGGTGTTTGGTTCAATTTCTACAAATTATAGAAAATCTTGTTATTTTCTATAAAGTTACGGGCCATTTTATTGTTTTGAACCAAACAAGCAAAGTCAAAAAAATGTACTTTTTGACTTCTCAAAAACTTTTCCTATAATTTTTTTAAGAAATACAAGGAAATCATATTTTGGGTGGAAAATATTTTCTATAATTTGTAGAAATTAAACCAAACACCCCCTTGGCAAATAAATGTCAAATTGTTTTGTGTGGCCCCCATATAAGCGACACTGACCGAGAGACTAGTTCACTATTTAATTCGCAACATTTTAAAGACGTTAGTACTCAACTCAGAAGGGAAAAAAGTTCTCAAAATATGAATTATGTTATATTGTTCTCTTGTCTCTTAGTTTTGAAACTAAATGTTAATCTTTCAAATGATGCATATTTATCATCTCTAAAATGATTGCAATTCTTTTTCGAGTGAGGAGTATGATGTTGGAAAAGATTATTTTGAATCATCATAACAACTCTGGAAATAATAGATATTACTATTTGAGAAGATTCTCTGATTAATAAGTTATTGGCATGATATAATTTCATCCGTGCTAGCACTTTGAAAGCGCACGAAGCATAGTAAGTTTGTTTAAAACGCAAGTGTCGCATTAAAAAAAAAAATTCTAGAGAAAATTCTTACAATTGCACGACGGTAAGTATTATTATGATTTTATTACAACTTATCACACACGCGCAGAGCGGGAGCTTTCGGTGTTGCGTGTTTTGGCGAGAATCAGAGGATACGGATGGAATCATGTAAACTCGAGCAGCGGATATTTATTGTTCACCGTGAAAGCGACTCCCCCCTTTTTTTACCTCTCCCGTCATAAAAAGATGAAAATAATGGCATAATCGCGTTCGCCAACGCAAAAGAGATCCGCCCTTTTCATCGTCTCCATGCTCAAAGAATCCACCTTTCTTTTCTCAAAAATAATTTCAACCCATTAATAAAAACACCACCCAACTTCCTCTTCTTCTTCTTGTTTATTCCATTTCCCGATGAAATGAAACCGTAACAAACCTCCTACGCATCTCGATTCGGTCCGATGGGGTCAGGGACCAGCAAGGATCCGTCGCCGGCAGCGAGCGGGCCCCGCCGCCCGAGGCCTAGGGCTTTCGGCGCCTCTTGCTTCGGCCTCTCTTCGAGCCCTCCTCGTGACCCAGTAATCAAAATTGATTTTTTTTCCCTATTTTTTTTTTGGTCCCTGCCGTTGCCCAGTTTGAGTTTGTGGGTTTAAATTTTGGTTCTTGATCCAGGACTACGACGACGACGGAGAAGGGAAAGCTGGTAGAACCGACGGAGTCGAGATTAAATCCTCGAGAGAGATTAGCGAGGGATCGAGAAGACGTAGGAAGACGCCACCTTCGTCGGCGAACGCCGGTCGAGACGGGGCTCATCAGGAGAGTAGCGGTAGTTCGGATGCGGATCCTGCTATCTCTTCGAACCCATCGAGCAGGTCTAGGTCTCGATTCGGGTTTATCCCAGATGGAATTGGGTCTCGGTTGGGCAGAGCGATGAGCTTAGGGTCGTCGAGGGCTCGGTCTCTGTTCCCCGAAACCACTTGTGATGACGTGGGAAGCGAGAACGAGGAGGACGTTGCTGTTGGTGCTGCTGCAGGTGACGACGCAGCTGCGGATCACTCATCGCGTAGGAATCACGTGGAATCTGCGAGCAACGAAATCAGGCGATACAATCACAGTCAGTTGGAGGGCAGCGTGAGGTTTAAGGTGGTCGGCGGAGATTGCTGCCGTATGATGTTGGCAGCTTTGCTGAGAACGGCTACCGTACGGAGGATGGGAGTTTGAATTTGAGGGAGGGAAGCGGTCATGACTTGTTGGAGCACAGGTCGGCTTTCCTCGAAAGACGAAGGAGAATAAGATCTCAGGTAGAGTCAATTTGGCATTGCTCTTTGCTACGGTGTGAACGTGCGTGTTGCGTATTGCAACTTATTTTCTTTTGTATTGGTTTTAACAGGTTCGAGCTCTTCAGAGGTTGGGTAGTAGGTTCGAGAGTTTATCGGGTCATGAGAGGTCTTGCATTTCATCCGGCCAACATAGAACAGGCCGTTGCACGTGCAGAGCGACCGCCCGCGTTGCGTCCAATCCTAGCGATGAGCCGGGCACTAGGGCCAGCTTGTCAAGGATTGTTATGTTGGCCGAAGCACTTTTCGAGGTATAATTTCTCTCATGTTTGGAAAACTAAGAAATCATGTTCTGTGTGATGTTGTCATGCGTGGTTGGCCGCTTTTATTTAGGTTTTGGATGAAATCCACCAGCAATCCGTTGCCTTGTCTTCTCGTCCGGCCTTTTCTTCGATTGGATCTGTTCCTGCACCCAAGGAGGTTGTAGAATGTATGCCGGTAAAGGTATACATGAAGCCACAAAAACATCAGCATGATGAGATTGCTCAGTAAGTATTCCTCGTGCATGTCCTCAAGTTTCTCATACATAAGTGATGGGAAGATGTGATTTTGGTGTTTGAAACATGTGACCTCAGCATTCTTCTTTAAAAATGGCGGAAGTCACCGGATTTCCAACCTCAAGGTTGAATTTAGAGTTTAAGGCGGGTTTCATGAGTTTACATATACATAATGTAGCATTCCTATTGGACCTTGATTCGCTATAAATTTATTTTAGGGATCTTAGTTTTTGTTTGCCTTTCACCCGTGATCCTAATTAGAATTTTCTGGGGACCATTGACTGTACAGATGTTATATTTGCCTTGTGGAGTATGAGGATGGAGATTTCATGCGGATACTGCCCTGCAATCATGAATTTCATCAAAAATGCATAGACAAGTGGTTGAAAGAGATTCACAGGTACACGAATAATATTCTTTCTTATGAACAACCATCATCATATTTGCTTAATGCAGTTTGTTCTATTTCTGAGTTTTTCCATTCATGGTTACCTTTATGATCTTTTTTTTTGTGAGAAAAGGCTGTTACCTATCTTGAGTTTGATTTGAAACCTGGGCCTCTTACACCAACTCAGATGACTTTATAATTGTGACATTGAGGCAGCCATTTTTTTATGACGTTAGAATCCCTTTATTGTTCATGCTCTGTGGAACTTTCCTTTCTTTACTAGCAATATGATCCACTTCAAGTTGTGATCAGTTCCATAACTTATCTTACTTTTTATGCCATGGACTGAACTAATCCTGCAATTGTTCATCCTGGCTTAAACGTGGGACTTATCGAGGTCCTCAACAAGCATATACCCACAAGAGAACATTATCCTTTGCATGCATTCCATACTTCATCCATGATTACTCAATATGGTAAAAATATCAAGCTTTTGATCTCTTCCCCCATTACTGTGTTTCAATAAAGACGTGGGTATAATAGCAATTTCAATGATTTGGGGACTAATTACAAAATATGAGAGATTCGAGGCACTGATATTGAAAATTTGAAATAGTCCTTTTATTTTACTAGGTACAGAATTTGAATTTGCTACTTTTATAACCCACCGCAACACTGCTCCTAAGTTGGCAAATAAAGTATGTCAGCTCCTTTTTTAATTTTGTCAAAGGTATTTGTGCACATATAAACTTATACACATTATGCTTGTAGTGAAAATATGATGAATTAAGAATACACACACGCACGTGTGTGTGTGCGCGCGTGTGTGTATGGACAGTTAGACGTCTAGACTGGCACTAAAATACCGAGTCCGCCACCTCCCTAGTAACTTATACACACTAAAATAAGTATTCACATGCAAATCTCTATTCTTCGGATGTTTCTTATTATGAATTGTAAGTCTATCTTTATGGATCATTTTTTGTGGGTATTCATGCCACTGTTTCTATATCAAAGTAGCTCGATATCAAAACTTCTTTAGCAGAGGACCCTAAAGTTCTGATTGCAATCCAATGTGCTATTTGTTGTTATAAACCCGTTAAAAATTTTCTTGTTGAAAGCTTTGCAAAAATTTTCTTTCTGAGTTTACTGAATTAAACGCTTTTCTCCCCGCTTGTTAGGGTCTGTCCTCTCTGTCGCGGTGATGTTTGCAGAACTGAAGTATCTGGCGCCGATAAAATAAGTTGAGTTCGTTACTGCAGGATCCAATCTTAATTTAACCTGCAAAATTTCTGTGTACTGCAGGATTCAAACTTCTTTGAGTTCTGTTACTGGGGAGCATTGCATCTTTCCTTCTGCCTTGGGTTCAAATGACCTAATTTTATTTTCTTAGGTTAAATTCAACCCAAGGATGATATGGATAAGTTTCAATGTTATATCCCCAATTCTTTTTATTGGTAAATTTTGTGAGGGACTCCAAACTTTACGGTGGGGGGGGACGAATGGAAATTTGAATCATCTCTATTACAAGATTATGGAACCCTCTGTTGTCAATGAGCATGTGTTTTTGAACGCTTCTGCAATATTCTTTTAATTTCCTTTGTTTGCTCTTTCTATTGGACAAATGGAATTTTGAATCAACACTTTTTAGATATTATCATATTCTAACATCTGATATTACAAAAAATAATTATAGCCAATTGAGTGATTAGTAAAAGAGAACCCACGTCATAGAAGCGTGGATAATAAGATAAAGAGGAAAGGTAATGTCATTACCAACAGTTTTACCAATAGCAAACTGCAATGTAAAGCTAACCTATTTTGTGAAGCCTAACTATTGGTTATAAGCATTGAGGTTTTCACATATATGCTTTATAATTTATTAAAAAGGGTCATATTATCTTAAACAATAAATTTGGTTTAATACTGAATAGTAATATGGTTGTAAGAATATCGTTATTAGGGAAAAGTCTTCATGGACCGGTATGTTCTTTACGATATAATATATCATAATCTCCCTGTTCTAATTTCACGAGAATTTAATTTTTCATACTTTCAGTGTTACTTATATGATATGGAGAACAAGTTATAAAATTGAATGAGAATATTAGGTAACGTAAATACGAGTGAAATCATAACTAAAAGTTAATGTGAATATGAGTCAAACCACAAGTAAAAATTTAATGGACGTATTGAAAGTAAACTCATATGCAAAACTACTTTGTGAATTGAATAATCAACTAGCTTTTAAAGATTTTAAGATATTAATAAACAGAGATGTTGTACTAGATCAATGTGTTTGTAACTCACAAATAGTAGATTACGTGGTCATAGTCTAGGTTGAAGGAAACAATATTTCATTTGAGAGGGAGATTATTAAGTTGATGATCACAAAAAGTTTTATTTTATTTTTTCTATTTTTATCAATTTAAATAAGCATGATATTCAATTACGTGCATTGCATTGCATGTAGTTGAATATTTTCCCCACAAAGAGTATTCGGGTGATTTCATTGTTTACATCAAGGGTGGCACTAGGGGCATACCTCCAATCATATCTCAAACCGCACCCCCTCTCTCATATGCTATAGTATACCGGGCCTCACATGAGATTTTAAAATCCCATGTGAAGCCCGGTATAATGTAGCATATGAGAGAAGACATGTGATTTGGGATGTGGTTGGGGTATGCCCCTATCATTTTCCTTACATCAAGGACTGGATATACATTGCCAGGCCTCAAGGATAAAGAACAGGGTAGGGGGCGTTGGGAGTAAGATGTGATTTGTTGAAGGCTTCTGCTGTCTCTTTTCAGTTTGGGTTAATTTCACAAAACCCTCAAAAGCTCTGGGGCATATCGCGCAAAACCCCCTGCACTCCTGGACTTTGTTTATTATCTCCACTGAACCCCAAATATTTTTTCCAGGATAACCCCAAAACTCCAAAGTACTTCAAATAACCCCCCACTAACTTGTTACAGCTTAACTGCGGAATGATGTCACTGTTCATTGTCAAATTACCCAAATATCCTCAAAGAAAAGACCTCCAGCTTAACTGCGGAATGATGTCGCTGTTATATATATATATTTTTGGTAAATGAAAATTTTATTCATCACCAAAATGAAAAATATATGTACATCCAGAACCTCATCATATTTTATTCATCACCAAAAGAAGAAAAACACATATATGCTGTGTTCTTACAAATCACCAACTGCATCCCCCAGCCTCCCAATGAAATATCCCTGATTGTATTTTTGACTGTAAACTTATCCAGAGTCAGAGAGATAGTATCTAGTCTCTGTTTTCAGCATCTACCTTGCTGTTTATAATTGTAGTCATCAAATCCACTTTAATGTGTTTAACTAGCTGCTCAATATCTCTGGAATTTTGATTGAATATCCTCTCATTGCGCTCCATCCATATGTTATATATTGATGAAGTTATAGTCATTCTTTTGACACTATGTTTGAAGCATTTCCCCCGTAAACTGAAACTATACCAGTTCAATAACTCGTTCTAATCGCAACTCCGCCACTTGAAGCAAAGCTAGTCCATTATTCTGCTCTAGACATCCTTAGAGAATTTGCAATCAGAAAATAGGTGATTCCGACTTTAAACTTCAGCACCTGAGCATATGATTTAAGATTATTTGAGTCTTAAAATCGGTATATAAAACTTAGTAGAAATAGTTATTTGATTAAGATTATTTAAGATCTAAGATTATTTGATTTTTTTACCATTTTCTAATCATTTACACTTTTCTCATCATTTTCTCTAAAATAATCAAGGATGAAGTCAAAACTCACAAATATAACATCATATATGCAATAATACAAATAATATGATAGATTTGAATTGAAATGTAATATCTAAAAGAGTTAAGGGTACTTTGTCTGCTGAAATTTTTTCTCAAACTCGTGCGTTTTAAAGGGAGTATGAAATTTGACAAATAATCAAACTTATAATTTTCACAAGGTTTAATTTCACATAACCCCATAATGTTATAGGGTATTTCACATAACCCCTTGAACTTTGTCCTCTTTCTCATGAAACCCCTTACGTGTCACCCAATTATTTAACCCCTCCGCTTCCTCTCCGCTCTCGGCTGCTCGTCTCAAATCTAAATCTAGGGTTTCCTCGATCTTCTCTCTTCTTCTCTAATGGACGCCATGGATTCGGTCGTAGATCCCCTCCGTGATTTCGCGAAGGACAGCGTCCGCCTCGTCAAGAGATGCCACAAGCCGGATCGCAAGGGTAAAGCAAGATCCCCTCCGTTAAAAAAAATTAAACCTTACTTTGTTTGATTTTTTTTTTTCGATCACGCAGAGTTCACGAAGGTGGCGTTTAGGACCGCGATCGGATTCGTTGTGATGGGATTCGTTGGATTCTTCGTCAAGCTCATCTTTATTCCTATCAACAACATCATCGTTGGATCTGGTTAAGGTAAAAATCCTAGATTCACCTAGATCCGTTATTTCTCTAGATTATACAATTGGATTCGAGATCCTAAATTGGATTCGAGATCGTAAAACCTAGATCTTTGATCCTGTATGTGCGTATACGGAATGTTTGTATAAGTGCCGTATGCTCTATTCTGATTACTCTGTTAACCCAATTGACACGCTGATTACACTTTTACATTTCTACGTTCTTAATTCTTGAATTCTGTAAGTTATTGAGCCTATGCTTGCACTGCAATTTATGACGATATTCGTATTGGATAGATGGCTGAGAAGTTAATTTTGAAAACTCTACAACATAGGAGCCAAATGAATACTGTTCAAAGTCTTTTTTCCACAGTAATATACTGCGAATGAAGTAAGTCTAACAGATACATTGTACAAGAAGTAGCGGAGTCAAGTAAAACCAACCTATTGACATTTTCATGATTGAAAACATTGTTAGTTATCGAATTCACCACTAACCACTTCTAATAAGTAGCAGCAGCAGTCTCCAGGAAGTACATGTACAATAAACAGGAAGTACATGTACAATAAAAGGCAGAAGATTGACATCCTTAAGCCTGATTATGAAAGTATGTCAATAAACAAGAAGTCTGTACTATAAATTAATTAGCGATATAATATTGAGATTTGTTTAATCATCAGATGTAGTCATTGTAATTATTGCCTTCACGGCAGTTTTTTAGCTTACACTTTGCTCTAGTCCGAAAAATAGGTATAGCTAATTTTATTTGTCATTATTAGGCCCACGTTCATTTTAGTGACACATCGCACGCACCCATAGATTCTTTCTTCTTTGGCACAACCTTCTACTCTTGCAGCAGTTAACCTCTGGATAATGTTCAAACAATTGGGAAATTGGGTGCCAGAAATGCTACCTAACAACTGGAGTATGCACAACTGAGGTGGAAATCTCTTGTGCTGGCATGGTGGATTGGGATTTTGCCCTTCTTTAGCACTGGCTGTCATTATTGACACAGATATAGGCATAATTATAGATTTCTTTTGCTGGGCTTTTACTCTTTCGATACCCAAATCGGGAAACCCTTGTGTGTCGAAGTCAAAGAGTTTGCCCCTGTGCCCCATATTTGTAAGATTGTTAGGATCCTACCGAAAGACTTGGGGGACAATGCATAGCAATATGAGCAATCCTAGTGTAAGATTGTCAGCATCCTACTGAAAGACTAGGGACAATGCATAGCAATATGAACAATCCTAGCCTCAGATGAACTGGTAGAGTTTGTCATCAATTGTAGGGTATCTAATCGTTTTTTTAGAGCCATTGCAACTAGGGAACATGGCATTTCTTTGAGTTTGAGGTATGGTGGCTCACCACGTCCTTGGAGTCTGCTGAGAGGGCGTTTGTTGATGTTCACTTCCAATGACAATCTGTTCCATTAAATTTGATATGGTTAGGATATTGGGCTAGCATTTGCACTTACGAAGGATTGGACTTGTGCATTCTTTTTCCCCCCGTATGCTTCCTTTTGGATGGTTGTGGCAATGGGCAGGGGTTTGTGCTTCTAATGGGTTACTGGTAGGGAGAATGTTTGCGCTACCAGTTCATGGCATGCCAAGTGTGATGACGTGGCATCATGGGTAGTGACAAGCAAGGCACCTTTGTAGAATGTAGTGCTTGGATGAGAAAGGAGGCAGTATAATTTTTAGGTTAGCGTTTTGATGGAGTCAGAGGAGACTAGAAGGAGAAGAAATGAGCTTACGAAGGATTGGATTTGTTGAGGATGTCAGAAGTGAAGTTGTTGAGAAATTGATTAGGGTTAGGCAGAGTGTAATAGTTGCTCCTCGAGTCACAGACGACAACCAATGTTATGGTGAGGCCAATTTTCTGTGGATCTACACTGAATGCGCCATCTTTGAGTATGAATAGGGGTAGAATGCGCAGAATCTAATCGAATACTATGATATTGAGATTTGAATTTGGTTATCTTTTACAAATTCCAATTCACATCAAAGAGGGAGTACTAATTTGATTTGTTACTTAACTGAATATTCGTTAAATGTTCACGAATATCTGATTAGCACACGTGGTGACTCACAAGTTTTTCCCACGAGCTCTTGAGTTCAGACCATATGTTTGAAGTATTTTCTTAATTATTTTCTTTAACGATTTACTTAATTCTTATTATGATATTTGACTAGTACAATTATTATATTATATGCTTATAACTAATTAGTTTTTAATTTATAAAAAGCAATATATTTATAAATATACACACGTAAAAGATAGTATGTAATGTAATAATATATAAGTAGACAAACATAAACGAATATTTAATAATTAAACGAATTGAAAATACATTTGGTTAACTTCTATGAACTGAATATTAAAAAGCATCTGTCCATTGTTAAATGAACTGCCAAATCGAGTATGACCGAATACTTAATGAACAATGAGCGAACTATTTGTTAACTATTTGGTCTGTTTCTACCCCTATGTATGACCGTGGTCTGTGTTCCTCTCGTACACAAGTCTGGGACTGAAAATTTAAAAAAGAATTCACAGTTGCAGTGAAATCAAACTGTTTCAGTTTTGCGTTAAAGGATAGACCGGCTACAGTTTAGTCGTACTTATGTTATTACTTGCTAATGATAGTATACGATCTTTTTTCACTGAGATTGTTTAGGACCCAGAGCATCTTTGAACTCAAGCATTTAGTTATAAGCAGTTCCTCTAAGAGTTTTATTTGTATGTCTGTGACTCTGTACAATAATTAGTTCCGAGTTGCTGATTTGCATTTGACCATGTTAGTTACTATCTGGTTTCTGACTTTCCTGTTTTATATATTTCACGCTATATGTTTTCTTGCATTATTAATGCAACTATACCAGCACGATTAATTTTTACTGGCGCATATATTAATGTTTTTTTTTCTTTTTTGTTTATAGGAATTTATGTGATCATTTGCAGAGACGAAGCCAATGAACACTCACAAACCAAGTTTCTTGTAACTCAACTCCACAAGAGGCTTACGCGTGATTTTCTAGATTCTCTTTTAATCTCTCCTCCTTTTTCTTCTGCTCTTGTTTCTTTCCAGAATGCTTGTAAGGTTCTTAGACATTATTTGAACTAATCTCAGAACTATCATACCATCATAATTTCCGAAATGCTTGTAAGGTTCTTAGACAGTATTTGAAATAATCTTGGAATTATCATACCATCATAATTTCCAGGATGGCCGCATTTCTTCTCTAATTGAGCCGCATTTCTTGCGGCATTTTAGCGAATTTGAACAATGGCGTTACACTCTTCCTCACTGTATTATTGTGCCTTTTTTAATTTTTAATTTTTCAACTTCTTATTTTTACATTTTAATTTTATGTATTTATAATTTGACCCAAACTGTTTTTATTTAAATTTATAAAACAACCCTAATAATATTTAAATTTTATAATGTTACCTCAATTGTATAATTTGGACAAAATAAATTATTTTCTAAAATTAAAAATGATGTTAAAATTTAAAAGACATTATTATTAATTATAATATTAAAATCTAGACATTATAATTAAAGTCCTATGAAATACAATTTAAAATTATAAAGAGCAATCCTAAAACATAATTCAAATATAAATTACATAACTGAAATACATAACATATAAAAACTAGCACATATAATATAAACCTTTATTAAAATAAATCATAAAATATAAACTAAACATATAACATTACATAAGATGGACAAGCAACTCTTAATAATCTGGTAGATCGGATCCAGAGTCTCTAATATCATTGAAATAATTGCCAAAATTAGAAGCAGACTCTTGTTCTTGTTGATTTTTTTTGTATTATTTTAATTTGTTTAGCTTGAACGTACTCACGTATGTTTGGATCAACAATGGAATTCAAAATTTTCATAATAATTTTCCATTCATCTCTATCTTTTTTCATGGCTATCTTTTCTCGTTCGATATCAAATGCTAATTGTCTGTCCAACCTCATCTTTTCTAATCTGTCTATAAGTCGGTTGTTATTTGTGTCGATGGAGTCCACTACACTTGACTCATGATCATCATTTTTTCTTTTCAAAATTTGGTTTTTTTACCCAAATAGGTCGTTTAGGTGGAGTAAATGATGACAATCCAGGAGATGTTGATATAGGAGATTTCGGAGTGGGATTATCTGATTGTGACAAGTCGAAGTTCACACCTTGGGGTTGTCTTCGACCAACTTGTCTTGTTGTGGGGACATCATCTTTAAATTTTTTAAAAATTTTAACCATATTCTAGACATGATCAAATTTGAAACTTTTTTGTACTTTGGTTCTTGCATAAATAACATCTTTGCTCAAACTAAATGCAAATGATAGTGAACATCAAGTTATGTATTTCAATAATAATAATAATTTTCAAAAGATAATTAATAGACTACTTACAATATTTTCATCTGAAACACCATTTGAATTTAGATTCTCTACTTGTCTCAAGCACGCATTCAATTTCCTTACTTCATTACTTATGATTTCCATTCAAGAACGAACTGATTGGCTCGTACGAACCTCAAAATGTTGATCTCGAAGTTCATTGTATCTGTCCTCCACACGAGACCAAAATGCATCTCGAGACTTGTTTCTACCGATAATAGGGTCTTGAGAAATATCCATGAATACTTGACAAAGGAGCATATCTTCAGTAATTGTGTATTCAGATGATCGAGCAAACATTTTTTTTTGTAAAAAGTGATTGGTTTGGAGATTAAAAATATTTTGAAGAAATACTTCGAACTGGGTGGTTTGAAGTAGAATTCGTGAATGTTATTTATAGCCAATTCAAATTTGTTTTTTTTTAATTTGAATTTGAATTTGTCGGGGGTCAACATTTGAAATTGAATCGTTGTGTACAAACTGATCAGCTTTATCATCATCTTCCAACATATACAGCTAAGCATTCATTGAATTGTGTGAAAACTTTATATGTGTGGGAATCATTTTCTGAAACTGATCAGCTTTATCATCATCTTCCAACATATACAGCTAAGCATTCATTGAATTGTATGAAAACTTTAGATGAGTGAGAATCATTTTCTGAAACTGATCAGCTTTATCATCATCTTCCAACATATACAGCTAAGCATTCATTGAATTGTGTGAAAACTTTATATGAGTGAGAATCATTTTTTAAAATCAGCTCAACTTTACACATTGTCCAACGTATACAGCTAAGCAAATTTAAATTTTGTGACAAATTGAGAACAACTGGAAATCATTTCCTGAAATCAGCTCAGCTTTACACATTGTTCAACGTATACAGCTAAGCAAATTTTTATAAATAGCATACTAGATTAGGTACCTCCACACAATTATTCGTTATTATGTTAAAAATATTATTCTTAATTTCTGCATACTTCAGTCATTCTTTTCTTACTTTAAAAATAAATTTCGATGATGGAGGTCCATCATATTTATCATCATCTTCATCTTTGTATGATGATAATTTTCTAAAAAATGTTATTGCAGAGATTGGTGAAATCAAAGAAGTAATTCGTGAGTACATTAACAACAACATGATACTCGCTAATAATATACGTCAACAAAACTACCAACCGATCCATGGTGGTTCGATTCCTAGTCATGCAGTGATCAACCGCGATCGAGAAACCGCGCATCAGAATTTGGTCATAGATTATTTTGCCGATAATCCACGCTTTGGTGAAGATATGTTTCGTTGTCGATATCGGATGTTACGAAGTTTGTTCATTCGTATTGTTGATGCAGTGAAAGATCATGACTATTACTTCCAATAACGAAGTGATGGACTTGGTAGAATGAGATTATCACTGTTACATAAAGTAACAGCTGTTTTTCGCATGTTGGCATACGGTCTACCAGCTGATGCTACGAACGAAACGGACAGAATCATCTCTGTTATCATGATACCGTTCTCGAATTAAGAATCATGGAAAACGGACAGAATCCTCAGCTCTTCTGACGTCACACGGATGATATGGATAAGTTCCAATGTTATATCCCCAATTCTTCTTATTGGTAAATTTTGTGAGGGACAAATGGAAATTTGAATCATCTCTATTAGAAGATTATGGAACTCTCTGTTGTCAAGGAGCAAGTGTTTTTGAGCGCTTCTGCAGTATTCTTTTAATTTCCTTTGTTTGCTCTTTCTATAGAAAAAATGGAAATTTGAATCAACACAAAAAATTAAGTTGATGATCAAAAAAAATTTAATTTTTATTCTATTTTTATCAATTTAAATAAGCATGATATTCAATTACGGGGATTGCATGTAGTTGAATATTTTCCCCACAAAGAGTATTCTGGTGATTTCATTGTTTACATCAAGGACTGGATATGCATTGCCAGTAGGGGTGTGCAACGATCGGTTCGGTTCGGTTTTTATCAAAATTTGAACAACCAAACCAAACCGCCTATAATTCAAAACCGAACCGAACTGTTGCAAGTCGGTTCGGTGCGGTTCGGTTTGGTTTGTTCGGTTCTAACTTCACCAAACTTCTTATCAAACAACAAATTGTGTTAAAGAAAAAAAAGATATCAACAAAGTAGGAGATTATGAAGCAGTAAATGTTGATATAATGATATTGTTTTCAACCCATAATGATTCAAAAAATGAGTTTAGGGTTTGAGTCTTTGACTTTTTAGGGACGAGTCGCGTAGGGTTTGAGATCAGAATGGGTCGTATTGCACTATATTCGGTCGGTTCGGGTCGGTTCGGGTTGAAAAGTTTTCAAACCGACCCGAACCGTCCTACTCATAAAACCGATTTTTTCGGGTCGGTTCGGATCGGTTTGGTCGGTTTTTTCGGTTTGGACCGAACCATGCTCAGCCCTAATTGCCAGGCCTCAAGGATAAAGAGAACAGGGTAGGGGGCGTTGGGAGTAAGATGTGATTTGTTGAAGGCTTCTGCTGTCTCTTTTAAGTTTGGGTAAATTTCACAAAACCCTCAAAAGCTCTGGGGCATATCGCGCAAAACCCCCTGCAGTCCTGGACTTTGTTTATCTCCACTGAACCCCCAAATATTGTAATTTCCAGGATAACCCCAAAACTCCAAAGTACGTCAAATAACCCCCCACTAACTTGTTACAGCTTAACTGCGGAATGATGTCACTGTTCATTGTCAAATTACTCAAATATCCTCAAAAGAAAAAACCTAGAGTGTTTTGGTCCATTTGTAGTCACATGCTTCATACCTACAGGATATTAAAACTAAAGGTGTTGCAAGTTGGGGTTTGTTAGAAAAGTTTTTTGGGGTGTGGAATGAGCAAGAACTTGGTCGGTTTCGTGAAATTCACCCTTTTAGTTTTCTTTGTTTCTTTCCATGTACGCTAAGAAATCCAAAGGAATCCAGGTCACGAATCTTTTTCATCTAAAAATAGGAATAGGAATAGGAATAGATATCCTTTGTTGAATATAGGATTTGCTCTTTCCTGGAAGAGTCCATAAAAACTTGGAAATTAAATGAATCTTTGTACGTGTGTTTATTCTCAATAACGAAATACGTTACCGAGTTCACCCAGGAAAAAGGAATCCTACTAAAATTAGGATTTCCGTATTGTTAGCCAGGGGCAGGGCTATATACACACATACGAACCCCAACCAAGCCTCAAGAAAAAAAAGAGGAGAAGAAAAGAGAGAAAGTAAGGAGAAGAGACCACCGATACGCTACACATTTTGTTGTCGAGCAGCTCGCGAGTTGCGAAAAACACAGCACCGATAGCTGAAGAGGTAGAAGAAGCTCGTGATACTGAAGCTCTCCTGTGTTAGTTTGCTTTTGTTCGATCATCTGGAAATAAGATTTCATTGTTTACATCAAGGACTGTACACACATTGCCAGGCCTCAAGGAAAAAGAGAGGGGGGGGGGGGGAAGGTGGAATCCACGATTTATCGTCGAGCCTGCATGGAATAAGCAGTGCTGCAGCGTTATCAGAAGAAACCGATCAAGCTGATGATTTCTTGACTCGTCTCCTACGCTTGGTGGATGGCGATGATGTTGATGATGATGCGCTCCCTGCACCATTATCAGAAGAAACTGATCAAGCTGATGATTTCTTGACTCGTCTCCTACGCTTGGTGGACGACGATGATGTTGATGATGATGCGTTCCGTGCTATTGTGTCATCTATTCAGACAATACATCAAAAAGTACGATACGTTGTCGGTGCTTCTGATATATTGAAGACGACCGTGGTTGAGAGGAACGAAGACGGAGATAAGTGCTCGATTTGCCTCGAAGAGTTTGAAGTTGGAAAAGAAGCTACAATTACAGAGTGTTCTCATGTGTTTCATGAGGAATGTCTGGTTTCATGGTTAAAGAGGAAGGTAACATGTCCTTATTGTAGGTCGAACTTGCTCAAGGGACGACAACGTTTGTGTACTTGAGTTAATGGTCTAACTTTGTTTGCTGGCAGATGCACATTTGGATTGCTTTCTTTTGTTTATCCTGCAGTGAACTCTCTGTCATGTATTATTGGAGACTGATCTCTAAATTATATATAGTGTGTGCGTGTGACATATTGTAATAATTTGATGGCCATCCCGTTGGCCCTGATATCAAATACTAAAACCCAAAAAAAAAAAAAAAAATTCTCAAAGACTTAGAATCCAAAACTTACAAGGACTGGCATATTTCGAATTTGGAAAAGAGAAAATTGGAAAGGAAAATAAGCAGTATTGCTGTATGTCACAACTCACAACCTCTAATACTATAAGGCAAGGCATCGCCCCTCAAAAATCAGATAAGCGGAGGAAACATCTGAAGCAAAGCTCTGAGGTTTTACAATTTACACCCAGTGCAGAGTTTACTTAGAATCCAGAAATTTTATCTGCATCAAAATTTGTTTATCACTGATCTTGAAAATCACATCGTTATGTTCCGTTGCTGGGTTGAACAATCTCCTCTACTGCTGACAAAGTCAATTTTGCTTTCGGATTACTACTAAAAGGAGAGCTTTAACGTGACTCAAGTCTCTGTTTGAGAATCACAATACTGTCGATAGTTACAACAGCAGGGTCCTCTCCTTACCTGTAATGCCCCGAATAAATCAGATAGTTTCGAAAGAATGAAACCCAAACCTATGTATAAATCACTTGACTTACACTGTATACGGAACTAAAAATGCTCGAAAGAGTTAGCTATTAGGATTTTACAATACCTTTAGAACAAATGGTGTACTATTAATAATACCTTGCGGAAAGTGAAAGAAACTCTTCTTTTGCATCTTTTGACGACCTGTTCCCCAACCAAATCAATCTGCAACATGAAGCAATAGAGCGAGTGTCAGTTAACTATTGGATTTAGCATTCTAAGATTTCAAGTATTAACATTCATTGTTTCAATCAATCAAATAAAAAACAAACATTCATAATCATGAGAAATTCAACATATTATGTAAAATATGCTGATGGATGAGGAATATCAAACCTTATGATGTGGAATATAGTGATGCCAAGCATATCTCCCTTCACCAGAGAGCAAAAGCATAGACCGTGGAGGAAGGAAAATAGCTTTTCTTATAATGTTTGAGCATTTGTCAGCTTCTGTACCATTATCTTCAGAGGGTTGAGGTCGCCAAGTGCCATGTTGATACCTCCTGAATTCCATAATACATGGACCAGCTAGCGAAAGACTGAAGATAAACTCGTCAAATGCTGAGTGAGTATCTATATGGGGCGATAACCCAACTCCAGGAGGATATTCATTAACCTTCAACAAATTATCAGAATGTATGAGAAATATTCTGATTGAAAAAGGAAATATTCCTGTTGAGTTGAAAATTTGATAGTTATACCGTCAATTGATCTATCTTCAGTCTACTTTTGTTGTCATCGAGGTGAGGGAAGGATGAAATTTTCTCGAGTATAGGGGAAACAAAAGATGGAAGTTCACCCAAGAATTGCCGAGAATCAACATTCCTTGTCTGCATGCAGAAAGAAGTGGGTAAACCAGTAAGCAATTAGAAATATAACCCCGTGTCTTATTTCAATCGTTCCATTATAAGAGCTCATAAGACTACAGCAACCAGGACAGCTCAGTAAATTAGGACATTAAGAAAGTGTAAGAATACTTAAAGTGCCTAGTTACTCGAATTAAGGAAGCCTAGTACCCAAATATTACCTGTCAAGCATAGACATTATATACAACATAGGAGTAAGAAAACAAGTCTAAAGCCTATATTCTAGCCGTTGTAGTTACCTGCCAGGCACAACCATTATTTACAATATTGTAGCTAAATGTACTCGCATTTGGAGAAAATGTATACACCAACAAGTAAACGGCCCTTTAACTTGGTTTGTGCTTGCAAGGGTCCTAACACTTTATGACTAGTGACACCTAAGTTACAGCCATTTTATTAACAGAAGCGTATATTTATGTCCACTGAAGGTAAAATAAACATGAAGCTTACAAGGAAAAGATTGCACACAGAAAGATTTCTTCAGCACTGTGACATCTAGTAGCAACTCACCTCATATAAGAACTCATAACCGTAATGTTGCACTCTTCTCTTTGCAAGACTTTTCCAAGGCCTAGCATCAACTGCTTGAAGGAGCTCCTGTAAACAACAAAGATACGAACGAGCTAGTGATTGTTAAAAATTTCGACTGCTTACAGATTAATCATATCACCATCATATGTTCCATTTTCAAACAAGCAAATGCAAAAGAGAACCGTACATATAGCACAAACGAGGCTAGCTAACCTGCTCCTGCTCAGCAGTGACAAAATCACGCACCAGGTAAATTCCTGGAATCTCCAGCTCTGATGACAAGAAAGACACCGAAAGTGAATCATTGCCCCTAACCTATTAGAAAGTGCCGACTTAATTCATGCATAATGGAAGAACGAATAAAGCATTTGAGGTATAGAATATCCCGTGTGTGTGTGTGTGTGGGTGGGTGGGGGGGGGGGGGGGGAAGAACTAAAAGTAAAGGTTAGAATCTAGCGAAGTATGATGGCCAGTACCAGGCCTAAATGGGTGCACAAGATCAACCCTCACCCGCCGCTTGCCAACTAACCCTCAACTATTGAAAGTTGTATAACAGCCAAACACAAGCAGTGGGCTTACATAGATCCAATAAACTACGGGGTTTCGACCCTAGATTTCTTATGGGTTTGGACTTCAAGTTGATCCATTGATCATATTGGAAAAATCTAGGACGGTGAAATTTCTACCATATGAACAATACATCATCAAACAAATTTTGCTGCCTTATACTTCTTTCAGAACAAAAACCTTTGCTTTCGGTCGGGGCACCGAGTATCGCATATGCAGAGTTCTTCCGCCAAGTTCGCGGCAAGGATTTCCATTCAATGCTTCGAAAGCTGTTCCGGCGGAATCCACCTCGGAAAAGCAAACGATTACACGAGCTCCCGTCTCATCCGCGGCGTGGACTCCGATAACCTCGCCAAATTTAGCAAAGACTGATTCCATGTCATCGTAAGATATCCCCACCTTGGGGCCGCAATTGGCCACGTAAAGATTAGGGCTTTTCTCAGGGTTCGACTCCTTTGGCCGAGTGAATCTTGGGCGCATCCTAGACACGATAAGGTTGTGAAAGGACTCAGATTGGGGCAGTATTGATGCAAAGATCAAAACTTTGGGAGTTGAACTGATTACCTCTGAAGATGGCGGGTTTTCTCCCCAAATCAAGCGATCGAGGGAGTAATTTCTCCTCCGGTGGTTGTTAGGGTTTCTTCCCGCTGAAATATAATGTAAAAACGGGTGCAATCGGGTTTCGGGTCGGGAAAGTGGGCCCTTGCATGGATACGGGCCATACCAGCTTGGGCCACTTGCCAACCGGAGGCAGAAAATGTAACGAAAAATATTTCTGTACCTGATATCAAACCGAGTTTTTTTCTTTTTTATTTTTTCACCCACGTTGTTCCAAGTTTGCTAATATAAACAATTTTCTAAGTAGGACTAATAAGCTCAGATCCAGACTTAACTTTCAAATTTTAAATGCCTGATTAGAGGAATTAATACTGGACTTTGGGATGAAAGTTTCGCGAATGACAAGGGGATCGACCTCGATTTTCCTTGTATTGTATTCGGAGGGAAAAACTAACTAATTCAACATAACTGCCAAAGAAGCACCAAAGGCAAAAAGTTCTAATGATAATTTTACTGCAAAAATGCGGCGCAGATAGTTCATCAACATATAAAAGCCTCTTTCACGGCATAACAAATGGAGAAATATGACGTCATAAGTCGTAAACCCGAATAATATTCTCAAAATACAAATCATAGCCAGCAATCAAATTTTGATCCTACTACAGATTAAGTGTTCGCTTCAGTAGGCTATCTTCATCAGGGCATTCTTTCATAGTCTTTTCTTGCGTGGGAAGATGGCCGGGTCTTCGAAGTTGGATGTCCAGCTTTTCTACCTACAACAGGAAACAGGGACTAAATTTCTCGAGCAAAGAGAAACTCCAAAAGTAAAAGAACAGTACATATACAGAGAGGCAACGCATGAAACTATGTAGATATGAAATTGCACCGTGACGCCATATTTAACTTGAAAAAGAAAACCGAGAAACTGAATGCAATATAAAATGTGAAACTGCCGCGGTCACCAGATTTAACGTTGAAAATAAAAATGAGAACTAACATTTGTACATAAAATGTGGCATACTTAAGTAACTTGCACCAGGGTCATGAAAAAATATCTACGGAATTTTTGAGTGCAAAGCATTATTCACATCTAAATTTTGCACTATCATGATAGAGTTAAAAGATTATGGATGCCTGATTGTTTTGTATGTCTATCACACTCCAAACAATGCTTTATCATGCTTCATTTTAGAAACCTAGTCATGTTGCATTATCATCAAAACAGACTACACCTCTCAGATAAAGAGAGCAATGTAAGAGATTTGAAGCGACTCTCGGTATTTGCAAATTAATTTGGACATAATTTACGCCAAAGATGCACTGTGACCGAACTGAATAGCTCCTTAGTTATGAGGCATGTAGAAAATCAAATAACACGCCCCACTTTCTTATCACCTGTTGCATATGAACAAAATTAAACAGTTTTATGGCAGCGGCTGAAATATATATATTTTTAAAAAATCGTCATGATTTTACAGGCTATTTCCAGCTAGGTAAACAGATATCAAAGTTGCACATTGAAATGATTTATGCATATAAACGAAATGATGGTATAACTTGATCCATTGGATCCAAAATTTTCTCAGAAATAAGTACAACGCCCAAGAAAGCAATCCATTACCATAGCCATCAGTCATCACATGCATAGATTACTATCTTGGGGGAGATGTATTTATGTTAAAATTTGAAGCCTAAGGATCAAGCTTGCCAACCTTCATAAAACAGTATCACTACAAAGTTAGAGCTGACATGCCCAGCTCATGGCATCCCCAGCTGCTTTCAAAAGGAACAACCAATATACATATATATTGGTTAATATATATATATATATATATATATATATATATATATATATATATATATAATATATATATAATATATATATATATATATATATATATATATATATATATATAATTTAATGTATATATATATATATAATCAAAATTAGCTAGCACGCACGCACGCACGCGCACACGCACGCGCGCGCGCACACACACACACACACTATATATATATATATGTATGTATGTATGTACACACACACATATATATGACACACACTATATATGTATGTATGTATGTACACACACACACATATATATGTATGTATGTATGTATTAATTTGGCTTGTATATATGTAGTCAGCCACACACTGACATTTCGCAAGAGATAAGTGATAATCTTCATAAGAAGCAACTTCAGCTAAAATTATTATTAGCTAAAAATAAACAAAAGTCAGATTGCTGTGTACATATTAGATCCTGGACTGCAATAGGTCAGGTATCTTAGGATAAACTAATGGCATATGTTATTATGTTTTTTATGTTACATGAATAATGCAGCAATTATTTTCTACAAGTGTCCAGGTAGACCAGTAGCTAATGATAAACAAATTAACTTGCCCGTTAGCCAGAAGAATATGAATTAGAAAATAAAGAAAATGCATAAATATCAGCCATTAATAAGAAAAACATGTTTCACACAAAGATGGTTGATTTGGCCTGGCTTTGAAGATTTTACCTCGTGACTTGCTATTGCCGAACATTCTATCCTCATCAGAGTGCGAATCTGGCTCAGCAAAGTCACTGCGAGCTGGCTCATTTTTGTGATGCATTCGCTCAGCATGTGCATGAGTTGAGTGTTGATTGTGATAATAAGAAGATTGTTGACCAAATCGACTGGTAGTGTTTGGTGAAAAAGGAGGCAATCGGCTATCACCGGCATGCATATTATTTGCAAAAGTGGGGCTACCCTCAGCAAGTGTATACCCCGGAAATGACCCATTTACTCTGCAATGGAACACATAGAATACAAGAAAATGAGATTTCAAAAGGGTGAAAAAGGATGACCAATGAAAGCAAGCTACAAAAGTACATAATTACAAAAAGAAATTGATGAGCAAAATTGAAAAATTAGTGTTTAAACTAGAATACAACAAGTTTTGGAATTGCACATTGAAATAGCCAAGAAAACAAGCAAAACTTCCTGCCAAGGCAGCTGAGCATATGCATGAGAGCTACAGAGGAGTAAATTGACATTGTACAATGCAATTGCAGCCACCAATATTTTCATTGGCTGTAGAAAGCCCAGGCATTATAACATAAATTTGTAATATGCATATGCAACTGTAACTGAAATCATCAATCAGGATAGGTAAACAAAATAACAGTTACTTCAATCAAATTAACTACAAGTTGCAGGAGACTTTACCGTAAAGGAGCCAAGTAATTTGAAATTCAACAGAAATCATTCATCTAAAGTATTAAGTAAACAAGTTCTCTATTACCTAGGCAAGCGAGATTCTTTCCCCGCATGGTAGTAACTAATAAACAAAGATGGTACCTTTGATTTGATGATGCCAAATTTGAGCTTGTGCGGGCCTGATTATGACCGTAGACAGACTTTCCCACTTCACTTGGTATTGAGGCATCAGTTGCTTTACTGACGTAAAGATTGTTATTAATTCCAGATGCCAAGGAGATGATGTCATAATTATCCTCTTGCAAAAGCAGTTCGTCACTGAAAAAGTATTTATTAGTACTATTCTACTAAGTGCAGTCAAACCAAATAACACATAATTCTTAACACCTATTTTCACATGGGCCTCTGGGCCACGGTTAAAGATCTTATTTAAAGACCTTCAATCTTTGAGTTTCGCTTGGGATTAAGTAAATATATCGTAAATTTGACATAATGAGGTTTGACATAGTGAGGTTTGAATTCGGAACCTCTTGAAACTCAGTGTACTATTATCATGTCAAAAGTCACTTTACCCAAGAACTTGAGTTGTTGGTTTATAGACTATAATGTATATGAAGCTAGCACAAATTCTTAACAATGTTAAACAAATACAATCATTTATTCATGGAGATTAAACAACTATACACCATATTTATTTGTCTTAAGTAAATTAAAAAAAAAATATCCCCATCATTTATTTGTCTATTCCTACTGAGACTGACCAAATAAACAATGTTGTAATTTCAGACTAGCAGTTGATTTACCAATTAACATTGCTTATGATATCATTGGCTTCTCTTTCCTGAATGGCAGGTCAACATGTGGACAGAACCCTTACATATGTTAATAGTGCATACATTTCATACTTGAAAAAGGAAAAAGAAAAAGGATTTACCCATTACTTCCATATAGATGTGATAGTAACTACTGTTGAGCAGAATTGCAAGTCTAAGATTAAATTAATGGCAATTATCAGATTGAACTTAAACAGTACCTGTAATCAGGATCCCAATCAGCAGGATCAGGTACTGAAGAATTACTTTCAAGTGAATCACGAGAAGCTTCTGTAGAACGCGGTGACAATGCATTGGTGTTAAATGTGCTGGATGTAGAAGAACCCTGATAACTTAAAAATGATCCAATTTGAGGTCCCAAATTAGAATGATTCGGAGCAGAAAGGTTAGCGTGTGGAGAACCAACATATCCTCGAGCAAGTGCATCGGATTGACAACTGATACCATCATCACAATGTCCCTGCTGGTGCTGAGATGCATTCTCATGATGGTGCATAGACATTCCTGGATAACCCCAACTCCTTCTGTTATATTGGTTATATTGACCAACAGCAGATGCTGTACCTAATGGAGAACCATGAAGACTGCCTCTTGCAGGAGAATTGGGACCATAATTTCCAGGAGAAACAGTCGGTACATGCACTTGAGAGATTGGAGGAGTAAATTGTGAGGGACTGGCTCCCAGGGACATAGGTCCCAAATTTCCAGTAGGACTCGCACCAAATCCATTTCCATATGAAATGTGAGACCTACGCCTAGCATCAAGACTGGCACCGAGGAATGGTCCTCCAACCGGTGTTTGCATGCTCAGTCCACGAGGACCCACTGGTGAAAAATATGAATACATACTATTAACATCGCTATAACTTCCATAGCTACTTCCCAGACCAGTATGATCGTTGTAGCTACTATGGCTTCCCATGCTGCCAAAACTACTACCATGAGACAGTCGCACCGCATGAAACTGAGGGCTATTATGTGGAAAACATCTGCTCAAACTAGAGACCTACATTTGTTTGAACAATTCCACAACTCAGTAATAAAATAAGTTTAATGAAAACACATGCTTCTATGCACTCGCTGAAAGATGTTTAAAGATTATGCATAACAGGTGACAACCTGAGGGGACAGACCGGCATCTAGCCAATGCCCTCCGCCTGGATTATGATCGACAGTAACAGAACGCATTAGAGGCTACAAACAGAGAGACGTCAGTTTTAGTATCAGATTAAAGCAGAGCTCATATTATAAGAAAAATGCATGAGAGAAGCCGCACCTTTACATAATTACTGTATTTTTTAGTTCATGCTCTAGGTGCAAAAGAATAAAATCTAACTATATCCGTTAAGAAACCAGCCTACTATTCAGAGGATGCACCTAACTCTTGTAACTAAACCTTAAAAAGAACAAAATGGGCATGACAGTTGAGTAATATGTGCTGGTCTACATTTATGGATTTAGGCCTTGATTCATCAGATCCTGGAATACATAAATAAAGATGTTCTAAAATACATTATTCAAAGAAAAGGGCATCCTTACAATTCGAGGAGTTTCTGGCAGAGGCTTATAAGGGCACAAAAAGGGTTCTCCCGTGACGAATGGATGACTTGATGCCTGGAAAATATTATCGCAACATGAAAATGCTTTGTCAAATAGGGCTGAGGAGTTGGTCTAATTCCATACAACACAACAATGAACCAGGTACGTAACAACCTGCAAAGGTGACCACCGTTTTCCTGGATCAAACTCAAAAAGACCCCTCAGGAAATCAACAAGGGCTAAGCGAGAAACTTTTTCTGTATGAGCATCATGATTGAACTATTTAGGCAAACAAGAAAAACTTAATGTACGTAGATTTAAATAAATATGAAACACACACTTTTTTTGGCAAAAGCATGAGACTAACCTTTGGAGATTTCTTCTTCAGACAGATTTCTTTTGTAAGAATAATTTGCAATTATATCCTCAAGCTTAGCCTTACTGAAGTAGTGTTTCCCTATTATTGGTTTTTGAGACACCCTCTGAGTAAAATTCAACAATTAACAAGAGAGATAAGGACTAAAGAGATGTGTGTCAACTATTTGTCAGAACAATGTGAAGACTTACAACTTCATATTCCTCTTCGGTTAAAAATCGGTATGCACTGGCAATTCCCTTCCAAGCTTCATTACCCTCCAAATGATAAATGCTTGCCACGTGTTTAAAGAACTTATCTGTGTTCTTCGCGTCTCTAAGAAGCTCATCAGGGGGTTGACCACTATAATGTATTGAAAGTACGGAAAAGACAAATTCAGCAACATATCAAGACTATTGTAGATAACAAAAGAGAAAACAGGCCCGTTTTACAAATGAATAACTTAGCAAAAGGATTATGCTTCTCTTTTTCACACAATATAGCTTGGAGAATTGACGTACCCAAGAGTCTCAATCATCCGCTTAAGAAGATCATATTCAGAAGCTCCAGCAAATAGAGGTAAGCCTAGGAACAACTCCGCAACAATACACCCAAATGACCACATATCAATAGCTGTTGTATATCTGTTTGTTTGTTAAGATTCGCCAAAGATATGAACTTATTAAAATGAAACCGCCGAAATTCTTCAACCAAGTTGAAGAAAATATTCTGATATTGGAGGATAATCAGGATGACCTAAAGCATATAAAATACAACTAATACATGCATGCAAACCAATCTTGAGATGCATGCCTGTGATCTTACATCAGCATCCAAACTAAGAAACTCACTTTATCTAGACAACATTAATTCAGACAAAATTTTCCAGCAATGTTTTCTTGTAAAAATATTTGAGATCAAGTAAAAGTTCAGCAAGGATACGGATAACCAAGCAATACTTCTGGAGATCTATAGTAGCGACTCTGTAACAGAAAGTGATTATGTATCTGAGATGGCAAGACAGGTAACTAGTATAATTTAAATACAGACTATCATGAAAACCTGAATGTATGAGTATACTGTGTGACCCTCCCTGCAGGCTGATCCAAAATCAATGACCTTTACTTCCGGCTTTGCACTGTGGAGTTCAAGATACTAAAATTAAGCTTTCATCAGAAAAAAAACATATCTCACCAATAGGTATGAATGTTAGCACAGGGAAGCTCACCTTTTAGATAGAAGAATATTTTCCGGCTTCAAATCGCAATGTATGATGCCAGTTTCTTTTATGACAACCAATGCATGCAAGATCTATCAGCACATTAGGTTACAAAAAAATGAACTGGGTAAGATCAGCAAACATTTCGTCTGAAAATTCATATAAAACCAAGTAAATATCTCACCTGTTTTGAGAAAACCTGCACAAGACTCAGGGGCAATCCTCTATATTGATTCATTTTAATTAGCTCAAACCTAAATAACAAAAAAAACACCAATAAATAAGGACTAAAAAAACTTAATTAAAATTTTCAAATTTTTAATAAGCACATGCACTAAGAGCTGGCTTACAGATTTGAGCCAAGCATCTCAAATGATATACACAAATGGCGTTGATACATGAAATAATCTAGAATGCGAACAATGTGATGTTTTTCATCATGACTAAGCTTTTGATTCAGCTGCAAAACAGTAATTAGAATTAATTAACGCCATAAGAAAAATCCAAACCTTCATCATGAAGAAATCCACTCTAAGGTTAACTGATTTCCACATTTGATTTACCATGGTTAAAATAGAAACTTCAACCAACGCCTGTCGGTAATAAGCAGTGTGGTTCTTTATAACCTTAACTGCAACGTAACTATCATTCTCTGGCATCCAGCACTTGGCAACTTGTCCAAATGTCCCATGGCCGAGGACATCTTTAACAAAATACCTAGAATGAAAATAAAGTCAACAGAAGAAAACTTTTCTATATTTCTACAGAAGTTTGTACGCGGTAAATTTCCAGAATTCAAAAAAATCAAAGAGCATGTGTAAGCCTAAGTGTGAAGAGTAGGTTCCTGATAAAATGGTAACTGGGTAACATCAACGATTCAACATAGAGGACAACACTCTCCTGCCATAATGCACCTCTTCTTTAAGAAACAAACACATTTGCCATCATGTGTTTACCCTTCTCATAATACATCAATTATTTTCCCAGTAAAAATACGCACCTTTGACTTGTAGCTGCATTGACCAGCACAGAATTCACATGCAAGATGAGATCTGAATTGGCATTGTCATATCCATCATTGAGCAATCCAACTGACGGGCTAGTTATAAACCTTTTTGGATTTAGCCTGTCTGAATACTTAAAACTCGAGTTACATAATTGGAATGTTTCAATGATGTCTTTAGTCAGTCTTGACACCAGCTGCATGCATAGATAGTCTATCAGTTCATAAAAATGTGGTGAAGCAACACTGCACAGAAATAGCAAACTAAAAAAATATAGTATATCAGTAGCGTTGTTATTACCTAATGAAACCAGTACCTCTTAACAATAAATTCCTTGGCCATCGTGAATTGATTGCATTTATATTTTCAAATGTACCATTGTCTGATTTTAGCGGCAATACTGAGTTGATATTTTTGGACAAAAACACACAAGCATATATGTGGGTATGTGTCAACAATCAACATACAACAACAGCAGCTTCCAAAACAACAACTAAGCCTTTATCCCAATGTTTGGTGTGGTGTGTCTCTGCGTGTGTATCAGTGTGGGTGTGCATGTGTATGGGAACACCTTAACGCCATAATCAATAACAAACTTGGTTAAGCCCTGTGGATATTGAGATAAAACATAGATGGACTGAGGATAACAGTGGCCATTGTGATTATGTAAATATGACAGAGAGTATCAAAATAAGGTTTTATCATGCAAGACTAAGTCAAATATACTTTATCGTTCTCCAGATCAACCTGAGATCTTTTCTATCCTTAACCTGCTTATCTTTTCTCACCTACCTCTCTTCATCTCACTCGGTTGCAGAACCCATTCATTTCCAGGTAATTTACTGGAAATAAACTCAAATTCAACTTCTTTCTCATTATATACTAAAGATAGAATTGCAATTGTGAGAATGTCTTATTTGCTTGTCGTTGAAGAATAAAACAATCCTCGTTAAGAAAAGAAGACGAACAAACAAATTGATTTTTTTAAGGCTATATAGAAACTACAAGTTCTTGACATCTCGTTTCCTCACATTCAGTCCAAGTAATAATATAATGTATTCTACCATAACTTAATTCTCCAAGCCCAAACCTTTTGGCATTCTTGCACAGCGAAAAGTTCTAGGGTAAAGCCACAGTATTCCCTGGCATTTACTTCAAGATTCTAAGCAGTAAAAAACGAAACATGTAATAAGCTCGGCTCAAAAAGAAATTTCCCGATGAAGCATATAATAAGCTCAGTTCAAAATTCTGAGAAGTCAAAAAGGAAACAGAGAGCTTACTGATCTTCTAACTCTAAATTTGCTCGATTTCAAAAACCCAGAAACCGTCGGAGAATCAAGCGTCGGAGTGTAAGGACGGAAGGCCCCACCAAAAGAAGCCCATGTGGCTTCTTTCTCATTGGAGCGAGGCCCGCCATCCCCCTTGAGATTCCCGCCTTCCTCCATCGAAATTCCACCCCAAGATCTCACCTTTCCTCCGACATCGGATCACCAATCACAGCTCAATTCATCAAGCAACCGCATCGCCGGCTCCCGGAGAGGCGAAATCGACGGCGGAGGCGCAGCAGCCAAGGCCTCGAGATCGCCGATTGGGGGAAGGGAGAAAAGGCGCGACGTTTTGGCGAGGGGTTGGGGTTGGAATTAGGGTTAGGGTTTTAGAGGGGGAACGATGATCTCGGACGCAATCTTTTGGGCGGCCAATGAAGAAGAAGGAAGGCTCGCTCGTTTCCCTCCCTTCTCTAAAAAGGGACCCCTTTTATATGTAGCTCTTTGTTAACTAGAAAAAGTAGCTAGGGGACCTCAATAGCGACCACATAAATCGACCCAGCAAATAAATTACTTGAGTGGGTCCCAGTGGGTGCAAAACTCTCTCGTTGTCAGGAGCTGAGGTAGTCCATGTGGAGGTTTGTTCCAATTTACTGGTCGTTGAGGAAGTCCATGTGGAGGTTTAAAGATAAAAAGTGAGAGGTTCTCACGGTTAGATATTGCAACATTTGTGTTATTTACGAGGGCTCGGTTGCGAAAGGGAGGATTAGGAACCCAAAATATGAGATCAACAGCGGGACAGGTGAGATGTCTCATTCCTATTGCATAATGAGCTGAGCTGGTCATCATTGATGGCCAACTCATTATGTAATAGGAGTCATCAATGATGATCAGCTCATTATGCAATAGGAGGGGGACAACTCACATGTCCCCCTGTTGGTCCTATATTTTGGGTCAAAATTTTTCATTAAATAATAATAAATAACTAAAATACTCTATTGAGATGAGATTTTAATTGTGAGTTAGTCCCATGGATCAGGCACTGAGATGATCAGAATCCCCTAATTTATGTGTCAGTGTCACAAATTTACGTTGTTCAGATTATTCATAAAAGATGACTCACTGTGTATAAAAATATCACACTAAATTAGTTTTATTCCTACTTTCAGAATATTTGAAATTTTTTATGCTTACAAGTTTTGATGATATTTTTGAGCGAAATGAATAGCATCATTCATGATTTGTTTTGTTATATCTGATTAGAATAGCTCACGGTAAGATTTTCAGCTCAACAGCTCAGTGGAGAGAATCCAGACTGATTCAGATGCATAACAATTTATGCCATCTGGGTGTTGCTACGGGGACCCAAAATATGGGACCAAGGGAAGGGACAAGTGATGTGTCACCTCTCTATTGCATAATGAGTTGGCTATGCTAACTTATTATGCAATAGAGAGGTGACACCTCACATGTCCCTCCCTTGGTCTCAGATTTTGGATCCTTGAGTCATTTTCCTAACTTGTATATTCTTCTGACATCAGCATCCAACACAGCTTAGCTACAAGTTTACAGGTCTAGAGAATGGATCCGATACTATATATAGCACTTAAAAAGTTGATTCACATAGAACAGCTGTATTCTTATATACTGATCATTTTCAAAATCTCAGATGTCTTATATGTCACAGCAAGCTTTTAGCTTCCCTTTCCATAACACAATCCTCTAATAATCCTACCAGGACTATTCTTAGTTACTGTAACAATCCTTGCTCTGCTATCAAAGAAGCAGTCCTCATCATCAGTCACATTGCCCTCCTTGGAATTACAAAAACGCCCGTCGACCTTGTTCATCTGATCGATGAGCGAGCGCCTGATGTGCCCTGGGGGTGTTTCAGTGATTCCAGCAAGGTAAACGTCGGAAAAGAAGTCAAACTTGAGGGTGGCAATTGGAGTTGTGGGCTTCTTTAGATCATCTTCTTGCAAGATGTCTCCAATTCTTGAGAGTATGCTGAATGATAGATTCACAAGGACTCTTGAATAGGCTTCAATAATGGAATATCCAACATCCTGAAAAACATATGAAGGATATAAATACCAAGAACTTGAAATCTTACCGTAAAATTCCAGATGCACGTTATCTGTAGAGTAAACGGGGTTGGTGTATCCTTCGATGGTCTTGGTCTGGTGTGTTCCTGGCATGGTACACATCCAAATGGCCACCAACAATCTAGGTATGTTGATGATATGGAATATAAATCCTTAGATGTGTGACACAAAATAACACACCAACCAACCAAGACAACGGAGGGATACATCGAGCCCTATTTACTCAATATTATATTAATAATTGATGTTCATCCAATATAATACACTTGAATCTATAGGTGCTATAATCAAACACATGTCATATAACCAAGGATTATCATGTGTGGTAAAACTAAGGATCAATACATGTAGTATGATGGATCAATGTGTGTAATAATAATCGTGGTACAGTACAAATCAATTAGACTTGATTGGTAGCATGTATGGTATAATCAAGGATCAATACATGTGCTATAGTTTAAGACTATCCATACCTTGTTGTATTGGACCTTTGTGACATCAATGAAGGTTTGCGGAAGGTTCGGAAATCTGATATTGAGTAGATGAACAAGTGCCTCTGCTCTTTCTATCCACACTCCGACCTTTCCAATTTCTGATACATTGTTCTTCATAAAGTACCAAGGATATCGAATCGGCAATCTCTTGCTTGATTCATCAGAAACAGAATGTTTCCAGGCAAATATTGCACCCTGTAACCTGTTCATTATGTCCAGAACAGAATGCTCGTTTCTCAAATTGAGAGAAATCAGTATTTCCTGAACCGAGATAGACTCCGCAGTTATGGCTTCGTATATATCGTTACCCAAACTAGCCTTTGCTGACTGCAAACAGGTCAAATTTGAAAATTAGAGCAAGCAAAGTCAGTACCATGCAGTTAAGATGGTTATGAAGTGGCTTGCCTTTGGAAGGGCATCTTTTACTACATCAGGAATGGGAATATGTAGGACGATTTGTTCGTTGATGGATTTGGCGGCCTTAAGGACTTGATACACAAATTTTCCTTGGAAACCAAGCCTTTTGCGCTGAGAAAGAGAGAGCCCAGAGTCCGGAACTCGGGGAGAGGGCAGCCACCATTTCTTGCTTTGCCTATTGCCATTGTTTCTGCTACCCCCCTCAGCATACCAGAACTCTGTGCTCACCATAGAATCCAAAACTTCCTGAAAAGAAAAAAAGAATCCTAATTAAAGATCCTTGATATTTATACATTTCAAATTTAATCAGTTATGAGTATAACAGAAACGTACAATTAGCATAGAATCGAGTTTTTGAAGAGCAGGGAGAGACATGTGGACATCAGAACGAGCCTTTGGAGTCATTATCTGCACTGACAGTAGAGAAGTTAGATAACGAATTGTCGAATTCCTAGCAGAACTAATTTGAGACGTACCTCCAACATTCGGCCATTTGCTCCATTTTGCTTGGCAGGAACTAATTCTACCATGTAGCTTGTAGGAGAGAGCAACCAGTCCATTTCCATACGCCACTTGCATTTTCGCTCTTCAGATAAAGGTTCCAATTTCCACAGTTCGCCAAATATTGAAGCTGATGACATGATTCCAGTTCATAGGTAATTAGTAATAGCTCAAATTCGAAGCAAGAAAGGTAATATAGGTGCCCTCATGTACAGGCCAAACTTTTGTAGATTTGTGTACTGATGATTTGTGCTGAAATAACACTCTACAGTCGGTAACACAAGTCTACACTAAACAAGAAGTCAAATCACGTCTTCGTCTTCAAAGCTTGAACATATTCCTTGCAAACTCCATGTCGTTAGAAAGAGATTACTATATGGAAACCACACTGAAAGATATCGATATTCGCCAATGCACAATAAGTAGATCTTTGAGCAAACCATTCTAAGAAATGGGCTGCTAATGTCAAATTTGATAAATTTCAGACATAAGCAACAAAGAAATGTTTTCTTTACCTGATAAATTTGCGATAGCATTGGACAAAGCCAAAGCAGTGCACATCCCATTGGCTCCTCCCGACGAATCCTCACCAAGCAATAGCTTCGCAAATCTTTCCTTCATATTTTCAACATCAGCAACATTCATTCTGTAAGTAATTGGTGCCTTCCCTTTAACACAGAGATTCTGAAGACTCTTAAGAGGTTCCCACTCTATTAAAGCCTGCTCCTCCTCTTGTCTTGATGTCATACACTGAGAGGAGAAAGAGGAGCCATAGGCATCTTTGCTAGATGAGCAGCTGGATGCGGCATCTTCGTCGGGTGAGTCCGTGATGGTGCAGCCGTCACCTCCACTTGCTCTGCTGCCTTCTTTGTGACTCTCAGTGTGATAAGCGCAACTGTTGAGGATGCTTTCTAGGCCATTGTATGTTGTTACTATCCCTGCATGGTTGAAAGCACTTTATTTAGATGGAAAAGGATTTGGATTCTTTTCACTGTCAAAATACAGTTTCTCCAATCACAACCATCTATCGGTATTTAGAGGATTGTGATTCATGTCAAATCAACCACTTACCGTATAGTCCATAATTTGCATTTATTGTCACTTTTTCCTCGGGACAAATCATAACCATAGGCGCATGTAATCAGTGGCAAATCTAGGATTTTATGCCAGTGGCAAATCTAGGATTTTGTCCCAGTAGTATCTCCATACAACTTATTATGATTGTATCCGGAATCGCATTGATGATTTTACAATTTTATCCTCTTTAGTGGTGTCCTACCACAATTATAGTTGTGTCTTAAGAAGAAAATACGAGTGGAAGTAAATAAAAATATTATAAAGTTAGGCAACTCCGTGATGCCCCGTGACAATACTGACTGCATATAATTGAGAAAGTAGGTTGATTATTGTTTTTCTGAAGGTGAAAGGATATGGTTCCCTATGTTGGTGACCATTAATCCATGATCGTGAAGAGCTCGGGTATAAGCGTACTAATCCAAGAATTCTCCTCTTTTTGTCCACCGTGTAAGCAATGGACCTGATCCACTGAATATTTTTTCCAGAGCCATGGGTCTTGACCTTTTAGCCACAAGCGATTAGTGGGTCAGGACAAAGAACAGGAAAGCGCTCAAAGTATTATCTTAAGTCTTTTCTGTTGTTTTTGCACGCAGTGAGGGGTGTGCATTGCACATGTTTCCCATCTTCCGTTGCACTCTCTGAAACTGCATCCTCCATGTGAGCTAGCCAATAAAATATGGAACCAATAATATCTCTTTGTCCTATACAACATCTGAGTACAAAGATTACTTTAATGAACGTGATTCTACTATAGTTAAGGTAATACAAAGTGACAGTTGCCGTTAGTTTTGGGTTCAGATTCACACTGTAGTCTCTTTTATTAGGAATAAAGCAGCACATGTACTATCTCTATTATTATCGTATTAGGCAATTGGTTAGAAGGTGCAGAGAAATGGGTAGGATTTGAAACCACATTGATCATTTTTCCTATTTTATTTTCGAGAAAGACTATCGATCACTTTTCAACTTTGAGTTGCACATAGACAACTAGAGAAGAAAACTATTTCTTTCTTTCGGAGAAAATCAGTGATTAGGGGAAAAAAGAGCAGTGTTTGTAGTGTGATTCTTTTTTTTTTTTTTTGAAATAGATGCAATATCGGTTCCAAATATGTTAAGAAAAATGCTTACTATGCTCCAAATCATGAGTACTAATTGGCATATTTCTAATGTAGTCCTTAATAAATTAGCATATTTCCAATTTATCATAAGGTGGGTGATGAGTGTGAACACTATCGCAGTGAGGAATGGAGAAAAGAGGTATAGGGTCAAAAAAAATTATTTTAAAAAACTATACCTTTTTATTACATTAAGCACCTATGAAGATGATCTTTGAAAATAAATACGTACTCTGATGCTCATCGAAATCAAGGCTGATGTCTTTAGCTCGGCGACGACAGCAAACTAATCTCCTCATTATGTTCTAACAATCACTCAAAATTTGCCCCTGTTTCGAAAACAAATCATCATTAATTAATTATTGATTACCAGAGCAAAAGGTTATGCATTTGGATAAAGGTCTCCCCTTTTTCTGCCAGATAGATTTTCAGTTAGATTCTAGAGGGAAAGTCTACAGAAAAAAGAAAAGTGAGCAGCTTTTGAAAAAGAAAAAGGTGCATCTTTCTCAAATTTGAATCTATTTGTAAAACTTTCAAATTTGTCACATTTCTTGGAATTCAGAGCAATAATGGTGATAGGTGGCAACCCCAGTGGAAAATTTTTGAAATTTGGATTTCAAATAAAACGTTGAACAAAAAGAAACCAAAAAAAGGGTAATTTTTTTATTAAATAAGCAGGAAAAGGAGTAGAGATCTGGACCCATCAGGATCCAAAATTTTCAAACTTTTGTTCAGAAATGAGGGGAAACGAAGAAGAAATCCACATCAAAATGCCGCATTATCATGAGCAAATTCTTAGGGATTTAACACAAAAATGGGAAAAGATCATACCTTTGAGAAGATCCGCACAGGCTCAAACGCTCAAACAAAGCACAAGATAGAATCTTTCATCAAGAAAGAGGATAAAAGAGAGGTTTTTAAGCAATGTGCTTCGTCTCTCACCTCAAAACTTCATACGGAGTGAGAGGAAGGAGAAGAAGAAGAGCGAGGTGTTCACTGCTTCTCAAAATTACGGGCGAGTCCGAAAAACTTCTAAATATTTTCTTATAGGTCCCCATGTATCCTTTTCGCCTGCAGCAGATCTCGATGCGGCGTCCAGTAAAAAGGGAAAAATGATTCGGGGTATTTAATGGTCCTAGCTCCTACAACAAGGTAAAAGCTGCTGGGTTAAACTTAACCAATTTTTTCAAATAAATTACAGATGTAGTAAATGCTAATAAAAGCCTTATATCCACCCACTACTGGTTTTCTTATGGCTACGACAGGACTTGAGACTGACAACTATGTATCTGCCTTTGACTTCTAAGTTCTAATCCTCCCATAAAAATCTTTTTTATTAGTAAAATGATAGGGACACACCGCCAACCACAACCTTAACCACACCCCCTCTTTCATTGCTACGGTGCACCGGATCCCACATGGGATTTTAAAATTTTAAAATCCCATGTGGGGTCCGGTACACTGTAATTTTAAAATCTCATGTGGGGCCCGATGCACTGTAGCAATGAGAGAGGGGGTGTGGTTGAGGTTGTGGTTGGTGGTGTGCCTCTAGTGCCACCCTTTTTATTACAACTTTAAAAAAAATAGACTCCTCTAGTGTAATGACAACTAAGCGGCTGTTTGTTTGCCTAAAAAAAAGTGCGAAATCAAAGAAATAAAAAACTATTTCTAAAAAAAAATATTTTGAGAATGTTTGGTTGACTAAAAAAAGAAAGAAATCAAAGAATTGAAGATGAGATGATGTTAGTTGTCACATTATTATCGGATGATGTGAGTGGTTTTTTAAGAAAACTTGTTTTGATGTTGTTTGGTTGGCAAAAAAAATAAGAAAATGAAATATAATAAATATATTTCCTATAATAGGTCGTTTTCTTTTGTTTGGTTTATTCTTAAAAATAAGAAAATAGATGAGATGAGTTGTCACATCTTATAAGATTATGTGAGTGATTTAAAATAATGAGATGAGTTGAGTTGAGTGATGTTGTGGATGAAAATAATATTTTATTAGATGTGATGGATGAGTTGTTGAATAAAAATAATATTTTATTAGATGTTATGGATGAGTTGTTGGATGAAAATATTTTTTTATTAGATGTTGTGGGTGAGTTTTAGGCATGAAAATGAATGAAATTGAATTTTTTGAGATTTCCACATTTTCATTTCTATTTCTTGATTTTTAGAAAATCAACCAAACAGACCCTAAAAGGAAAATAGCCTCCTCTAGTGTAATGTTGTATGTTGGGGGTGCTAACAGTTCCTATATGGCTTAAATATGATTTTTACTATATTTTTAACTGTTTACCAAACACTGATCAGAATATAGATATAATATGTCTTGATAAGTAAGTCTTAACCAGACGCGAATATGGATATACATGCGGACACAAAACGCAAATTAGAAAAGCAGATAATGTTAAGAAGGTATAATTCCTATTATATAAGAGAGTTCATTAATACATCTAGTATATCTGAAAAACTAAGATTAGATCTCTTAATCATCAAAATTAACATTAAAAATCCATTAATATATGAATTAAACAATTGCAACTGTGCCTAACATATGTTCGGATATTTCGAATATAGATTCAGGTATTTCACTAGGTTTACATATTCCAACTATATTCTATTAGATATAGATAATAAGTGATCGTTTGGCTCACTTGTACCAAAATGCGTGAAATATACTGTATCACGAAAATGCTTCATCCAGCTAAGGCTGATAGCTACGATAAAATCAACACAAAACACTTCGTTTTTGTGAGAATTGGTCGGGTGCTACCATGCACTTAGGGTTTTTTTTGCTGCTATGTCAGCCTCTTAACTACACAACCAAACAAAGTGAAACATGAAATGCACTTTAGCATGACAGCTATAGTGTATTTCATGCGAAAAGCATCACAACCAAATAGATCATAGTTATTTTTTGTTAATTTTGAAGCGTTGGGATCAGTAGATGATTTGAGAACTAATCCAGTTTAGGTTTGCACGGAAAGACCTAGAATCTTGCTACACCGGTTATATTGGACAAAAATGTGTCTGGATAAAAACCATTAAGTGCAGTATTTATGGTTTTGCCAAACTAGCTAAAATTATTTTATGATCTGATTAATATTCCATTTACTCTGGTGAAGTGAGATAGTCAAAAACTATCACGTTGTGTAAACGAGTCTGCCTCAAGGAGCTAAAGGGCATGTTTGGTTGAATTTTTAAAGTCAAAAAATAAAAAAGAAATAGATAATAAAACCATAAAAAGTTGATTTTGATCTATTTCCTCAAAAAATGATATGAAATGAGTTTTCTTAAAAACAAGTCGCATCGATCAATAATATAATGATAACTCATCACTATCACCTCTTTTCTTATTTTTAAAAAATAAACCAAACATAAGAAAAAAAAGCTATTATAGGAAATATGTTTCTTATAATTGATTTCATTATTTTTTTTAACCAACCAAGCAGTCCAAAATCTTACAAACTTAAAATAAAAAATAATAATTAAAGAGCGCTTCTAAGGCGGGGATTTGATTTAAATTTTGAATCCATGCAAAAGTCTTAACTATTTATGCTGTTTATCGACTGACGCGGTTTGACGAGTTCGGGCGATGTACACACTTTTACTGGGCTTTCATTTCAGACGCTGCTGCGTTTTTTGTAGCGTGGCTGGTGGGCCCACAAAGGAGTCGTAGTTGGGCGATAACTGTTGTCTTGTTCTGCGACGGAACAGCGGGCGCACAGCCCGTGGGCCTACCGCGCGCACTGCAGAAGGAAAGGGGGGCAGCAAAACGAGAGGAATGTATTAGTACCGGAGAAAAAGAAATTGGAAATCCCAACGCTATCATCTCTAAATAATTAGCATCGTTAAGCATCAGACTTAAATAAATAATGCTGTGGTATATTATGCTATGCTGTATTTGTACTTGATGCGGCACGGGGGCAGTGGCGTAGCAAGTGAAGGCTTGTCCTGGGCAGCTGCACAGGCCGATACTGCAAATGGGTCTCCGCCTATAACCTCCCCTCCTTCGCTTTCTCTCGGAGGCGCTGGCAGTGCTAGCATCGGTGTGGCCTTCGGCAACGCAACACTGCTCGCACTCTATGCGCCGTCCAAAAATCCCATCGTCGCCCCGTTAGGAGGTTGACTGTACATTCCATCAAGCAACAGAAGGTCGAATCCGCCGCCGAGAACAACTCTATGAACATACTTGTAGACCACCTTTATTTTTTGCCCTTTATTTTTCGCCCAGGACAAAAAATAATCCTGGCTACGCCACTACACATGGGAAAAAATGGAAAATATATGTCCCTTCTCAGGCCACATATGTTGAGTTCGGATCCTATTAGAACCTCCCGCACACAAAAAGACCCTCAGCCTTTGGGATGCCAAACAAAATGTTGTTTTGAACATTTTTCCCGCCCCCAATGGTTCTGTTCTGATAGGATTTGAACTTGATTATGATTAATATTCTATTTGAACTCTTTATGCATGATTAGTATTTTTTATTAGGTAAATAGATTACAGAAGTTGATATCATCCTTTTGTTCTGTTTGATAACAAAGAATCGGTTGAGCTTTAAATGCCAACTCTTACCAATGTTTAAAAGACTTTAATTCTTGTGGGCGTACGAAAACCAAAATTCTTAGAATTGGCAATATCTCCTACACGTAGTGAACAAATCAATTCATAACCAAAAAACGCGGTGAACAAATCAATTCACTATCACAACCATTAATCCTCCAGCGGGTCGACAAGATTTTTATTTGAGTGTAATGTAGAACAGAGCACAAATAATGGGGTTGGGTGCATGTTAGATTTACAATGGATCACAATCACTTAATAAATAATCAACAGATGCGATAAAAAATAGAACTCAAACTCTATTAAGACCCTATGGTTTCATCTACGAATCTATTAAGCTCCCGTGGTTTTTTCCGACTCTATTAAGTCCCCGTGGTTTTTTTTCGGCTCTATTAAGCCCCTGTGGTTTCATCTGCGAATCTATTAAGCCCTCATTTTTTTTTGACTCTATTAAGCTCTTGTGGTTTCATCTGCGAATCTATTAAGCCCCGTGCTTTGAATTTCAAATGGGACTTAATAGATTCGCAGAGCCCCGTGCTTTGAATTTCAAATGGGACTTAATAGATTCGCAGATGAAACCACGGGGGCTTAATAGAGCCGAAAAAAACCACGGGGGCTTAATAGATTCGCAGATGAAACCACAGGGGCTTAATAGAGTCGAAAAAAACCACGGGGGCTTAATAGATTCGCAGATGAAACCATAAGGGGCTTAATAGAGTTTGAACTCTAAAAAATATTGATCTCTCATCTTTCTTATTTATTCTTTTTGAAGTGTAGAGGTTCCAAACTCGGGAAAATTGAGTAGGTAGGTAGCTAGAGTTACTTGTTGTGAACTTCACAGACATTATTATGTCGGTCACGAGAATGCGACGCGCGATGTAATCTGTAGTATATACATCAAGGGGCAACGCTATCTGTGGTCCTCCGGTGCATGGTTCAACGAAAAGCTTGAGAAAAAAGGTTAAGTATGCTCAGGTAGAGCTCATCAGCAAGCGAAGAGTTTTGGGTGTCCCTGTCAATGACAAAGATGGAGGCATGGGCCGAGCAAAGACGACAAAGACGGTTCTTTTAGGGAGGGAGCAGAGGGAATGTCCTCTTTATGCCTTGTTCCTAAGGTTCATGAGATTATTGTGAAGGTAATTAGTTATGGAGCTCAAGAAGGAAACAAACAACCCCTAATCATTGTTAAGGGAATTTGATCACTGCAACATCATAATCATTGATTTGTTTAGCGGTGGTTGTGATTCATTCTATGTCTAATTAGACTCACCATACCCTCGTGGATTGCATGCACTATTTTCGTAATTTATACTTAAAGTCGTATCACAACCACCCGCTAAATAAATAAAACTATTATGATATTGCAGCGGTTTCTCCGCTACTTTTCTTATAGCGGAGAGGATCTAAATCCGTTGTTAAGTGGAGATCCTCTTGTTCACTGGTTCTAGATGTGTAGCATCTTGTTACACACAAGTGTCTTTTTGATAAATATGCATTAATTCATTTTAGGATTTTAACTTTATTGTGCATTTCAGTTTTTTTTTCTCTCCAACTCCATTAAAAAACTTTCTCAAACTCCATTAAAAAAATTGGTGTCACCATTAACTATCTTATTTTTTATGTAGAGATATTGGTGGTATTTGTTTGTAAAAACAAATAGCCCCCCATCGGATATCTGAGCATATTTTAAGTGGTTTAAAAGCATTTTATGTGTGTTGGACTTTGACAAACAAGCTAAAGCTTAGACTTATGAACCCGCCTACAAATATCGCTATTATTAGACTTTGAGAATTTTGCTATCTGAAATTTTCACAAGGAAGGTTTTCATGGCTCGGAAAATTGCGTCTCTTCATTTATTTTTTCTCAAATAAGGAGGCCATGATCAGCCCAATTTCATTCTAATCAATGTTTAAGGCCAGCCAAATCATGTCATAAGAGTTGGGTGGGAGCTGGGCCTAGCTTTTGGTGGTATCTGAAGTGGGCCTAGATTAAACAACATATTGACAAATATTGATTTGGGCCTTCAATTGTGACTTTAGTACTATAAGGTCTCATCTATAAAGGCCCTTTTAGCGAGTCTCCGTATATTGCGAGAGAGGGGAGGAAGGGGGGAGAAAAAAAGAAAGAAAAAAAGGTAATTTACCAATTTAGGCTCGTGGACTCGGAGAAATCCCGACGAGCCAACCAACATCATCATCATCATCATCATCCCCCAATCCCTCCCCCTCTCTCTTTCCTTCGATCTCTCATCTTTCTTCTCCGTCATCGATAACGGCGACTTCAGCGATTCAAGTCCTCTTCGTTCCAAGGTTAGCCGTCAAACCCTCGTCTCTCTGTTCATTGAGAGGGCTAAAAACCCTAATTCACGATGGATCTATGCTTGCATCCGGTAATTTAATTCCGTTGCGGTTTTTTTTTTTTTTGGTTTCCTCCCACTTCAATTTCGCTATCGAGGCAAAACCTAACATGATATCTTTGTATATCTTGAAGAAAAACGTGATCACAGTAAAGATTGTGTAGATTTTGATTGAGATGAGGATAGTTTAGGGCTTTCGTAGATTCTATAATTTTTTTTTTCGCGCAACTGTTTAGTTTACTTGCTGACGAAATTGGATTTATTGCTGAATGCACGTACCCAATTTGGCTAATGCCTAAACCGTTTTGGAGAGAATCCTTTGTCCTCATTCATTTGAACATGTATGTCTGCTTTTGGAGCAAATTCCTATAGAAATCTCTCACGTTGCTCATTTTTTTTTTGTTTTGTAGAGGATTTAAAAGGTGGGTCTTTTGAAGGTAATTACTGCAAAGTGTAGGGTTCTACTTCAATACTGTACATTTCTATATTTATTTTGTTCAAGGTAATTTGTTATTGTGAAGAACAATCGGATGTTAATTTGGTGCTGTTAGAATGATGAATCAAGGCGGCGAGGCACAGGTAATTTTCCCAATTTATTAATCTTTAAAATTTTCTGCGTGCCACTTCACATTGTTCAGTATGTTAGAGCTCCAATTCAATCTGTTGTATGACAGCCGTTACATGATTTCTGTTTAAATTCACGCTAATCCCCCCCCCCCCCCCCCCGATATTATTGCAGCCCTTAAATGTCTAAACATGTTGCATATAAATGGCCACTCTTTTCTTCACTGGGATTGCGAAAGCCAAGGGACAAACTTGTTATGGGAATTAGCTAATTTAATAACCATCACTCAGGCCTCACAAGAATGATAATTCTCTGCATCAAACAAAATGGGATAGCCTATTTAAATGCTTAAAATTTTATTTCTATGGAGATACTTCCGTGAATTCTGAACTTATAGTTCTTGGTAGAATGTTCCCTCTTCTTAGTATTTCGGTGTCTTATGCTGGAAGAATACATTTATAGGGGGTAGTTATTGTCTAAGTTTTTAGATGGTATTCTGATAGTACTGATAAGACTAAGAGTTCTTTCTTGACAATAGTTCTTTCTTGACATTTTACCTTGAGATCTTATTGTAGTAAGAGTATCCCACAGTGATGTGTTGGTTATCTATTTCCTAATCATATCATATGATTCTATCTTATTGTTATCTCTTATTTTATATATCTTGAACCAGTGACTGGAATTAAATAAAATGATGCTCGAGATGATTTGTTCTATGATCAGTCAGAATTTCTTCTATGTTGTCATACAATATGGTTTTCCTACTTGGGTTATTTTGATATTTTCTGAGAGCTATGGTCTTTGTGCAACCGTCATTGTTGTTCATGGTTCTTTAATGCCCATGCCTGTTATATATATTCTCAAAGAAATGAGCAAACGCCAAAAGGTAGCAAACCAGAAATACATAACGGTTCTTAATTTTTGTTTGGGAGCAAACACCATTTTCATCCTCTTTTTGTTGGAGATTATTATCTTCTGAGATTCTCTGATTCAGACAAACAAACATTGAAGTATGAATGATTTACTAAATCAAAGTACCTTTAGACTTTTTGCCAGCAGCTAGAATTTGATTCGACAGACCTAGCAATGAACTTTATACTGATTCTTTGATTTTTTTTCATCCCTAGAAATATCAGGGGGTGGATATGAGTCAGGGAAACATGTCTTTAACGTCGGGGCACCATTCCTGGTCTTCAACGCCAGGACCTGTTACTGTTTCTTGGAATTCATATGGGACAGCTAATGCTTCTGTTGAGAATGGGGTCCCCTCAAGTTCTGGCTACGATTATGATACACAGAGGGAGACCACTGTTACCGGAGATGGTCACAGTGCAGCCAGTTCTGCTTGTCATGCATCTACATCATCAAATAGTGGTACCACAAATTTGCCACAAGATTATGCTAATTACACACCATATTCAAATCCAATGGGAACTTATACATATAACAACACGGAATATCAAAACTATTACAACTATCAGCAGCCATCTAGCAGTTCTTCCTCTCAACAAGTGGTAGCTTGTCAAAACTCAGGTGCTACTTATCAGTCTTTTAGCTCATTTCAGCATACAGGCTCTTATGTCGCTCCTACAAGTTATTCAAGCACTTACTACAATGCTGGTGATCATCAGACGGCGGCGGCAGGATACCCAAACAACAGCTATGTTAACCAGTCCAACTACTGGAACAATGGAAGTACGGGAAGTTATCCTCAGCAGTATCCAAACTACACGGCGCCAGTTGCAAACTCTACCCAAGTAACTAGCAATGCAGCAAGTTCTCTTCATTATCAGCATTATGGTCAATGGCCATCTTATTATTACCCACCTGCTCCCACTGTAAATAGTGTTCCTGGTACAGAACAAATGTCGACTACCAGTAGCGCTCCTGCTACCCCAGTTCAAGCTGCAGCAGGCAGTTATCCATATCCAAGCAACCAGCCGCCACCACCTGGCACCACAACTTGGAGAAGTGAATCTGGACCTTCAGTGACTCCTTTTTTGCAGGTTTGAGTCTTATGAATAATTGTCTTCATAGCACACTTATCTTATGCTTTTAGATATTCTCACAGCACCAGGCATTTCCTATGTTACTGTAACACTTTTTTCTGTTATTTTTTTCACTTTTATATCATATATCACTTTGAGCTGTCATTTGGTGTCTTCTGAATACGTCCTTTTGTGACTCTACATTGTTGTGATATTTAACTATATGGTCCTTCTCTATTGATGTTGGCTGGATTTGATTTTGTCTGTGCTTGTTGCACTTGCATGAGATATTGTCACTAATTACCTTGATTCCGCATTGAAACTCAGATTTGAGCCTAGAATTGTTCTGCAATAGTGTTTTAATAAGTCGACAACATCTACAACACCTTTATCCCATATCTTTAAGGCTGGTACGATCTTTTGTGTCCATTTTAGCTGTTAAGAACCATCTCTTCTGTAAGCTAGCAAGTATCATCCTTCTATACTACTATCCATGTTTATTTAGGTGTAGACATTTTCCTACCCATTCCCTCGGCTACGACTTAATGACCATAACACTCTTGACTTGAAGTCACTCAGCCTTTATGATATTATAACAAAAGAAAATCACTTGATTAGCTGCTTTGTCTCAGGCAGTAGAAATGACTAAATTCTTCCAATTTTCGCTTCCAAGTTTGTTGTTTTTAACTCTCCTGATATGGCGATCAATGGTTTGCATTTGTATTATAAGGCTGGCATATTGTTGGAAGCACATGTGGCTGTAGAATTTGAGAGTTATTTAAAAAGAAATGGTTGATTTGGATGACTGTCCATATAGACATGCTCGTTTTCTCTCAAACAGTATCTAAATAATGTTGTTTGCCTTAGCATATCAGACAATGAACTTTCCCTTCCACCATGGCACTGTCCATCTACACAGGCACAGCTATCTCATATTACTCAGTTTAAGTGAGCTTTTGTTTGAATGAAGTTATACTAGTGTCAATATATGCTGAACATTATGTCCTTTTGCATGGCAGGATAAGAACAATGTAACGACATACAATCTGAATCCTTCTTCCGGAGTTGCAGGTCCTGTATCACAGAGTCACCAAATGAATCAAATGACCTCGCACTTTCAAAATCCTGCAGATTCAAGTCCTTTGCCTTCTGAAAATCCTAAATATCAGCAAACGAATATGCAAATTGAAGGCTCTATTTTACAGGCCTCTTCGACTAACCATGTCTTAGATCATTTCCAAGCTCCCATGCAAACCACCATGTTGGACACACAACGGGTAAGAAAAATGCAGATTCCAACAAATCCTAGAATTGCTCCAGGTTTGGCCTTTGGCATGTCAAAAGGCGATAAAGAAAGCTCAACACCTAATACTGCAGTGAAACCCGCTTATGTCAGTGTTCAAGTACCAAAGCCTAGTGATAAATTGCCCTCTCATGATGATGAAGAGGCCGTAATGAAGGTGATCTCTTTCTCTGCTTTTTACAGATTGTCTTAGTTTTGACTATCATATCAATACACACACCCACACACACGCATACGTGCATGCTCGTGCACATGCAAACGCACACACGCGCGCGCACGCACACGCACACGCAAACACACACACGCGCGCGCACGCGCACGCACACGCAAACGCACATGCGCGCGCACGCAAACGCACGCGCGCACGTACACATGCAAATGCACACGCACGCGCGCACAAACACGCACACACAACACTGGCGACTCATTTTGCTACGAGCTACCAAGAGATAACCATCTGGTGCGGCGCAGCTTGCTAGTCACATCAAAAGGTGTGGACCTCACCACTCGTCTTTGGTAGCTCATTTATCAAAATGAGCCGCCACCTCATTTTGCACAATTATGTTGTGAGTTTGGGCTTACAATTATCTATTGGTTGCATAAGAGTTTTACTTGACAGTCAAAAAGCTAAATGCTAATCAAAAAGCTAAATGCTAACTTGACCAAGTAATCTTTTTATTCTTTTCCATGCTCCATGCTAGGTAGTTGGACAATCTCAAACATTACAAAGTTTTTTCTCCAAGTGCTTGTTTGATTACTTGTTCTTATTGCATGTGCCTTGCTCAAAGCTTTGATTACTTGCTATATATACATAATAATTTTGAAGATATCCCTTTATATTTTTATACTTAATGAAGCCAAGATCTTCATCTCCCCCCTCGCATGCATGCCTGTGTGGCATATGCACATTTATTTTCTGGTTAGTGAAGGAGAGATATATGAGCTTTGTTCTGAGGCTTTCTTTGAGCTTTGTTCTGAGGCTTTCTTTGTTTAATTTTGAAGTGGTCTTTTTAATGCTGCTCTTCACAGGGAACTCTCCCAGCATCACTCCGTACTTATGTGGAAAGAACTTTTGCTCGCTGCAAGGATGATTCACAAAGGGCTGCTAACCAAAAGCTTATGAAGGAGGTGAATATACATATCGGCATATGTACATGCACGTATAGTGTATTTGTTAGGATTATATGGTTACAATTTTGCAATTAATTTGGGATACAGTTAGTAGTGTATCATCTTTTAAAATGATATTTTAAAATGTTTTTTGCAGCTGATCACAAAGGCTTCTGCTGATGGCACACTTTTTACAAGAAATTGGGATATCGAACCACTTTTCCCCTTGTCAAATGCCATTGATGAAGCTAATCAAAAGTACGCTTTATTTTCATTCATATATGATATAAAAATTTCATCTTTATTGATATCTGAATGGTGCTTTGAACGTCCAAAGTTTCGTCTTTTGTTTTGATGGCTTAGATGTCTGCTTACAAGTTGTTTGCGTGAATCCTCCATTTTGAAAAAAGCTCCATGTGACCCTTCTTAACCAAACATGTTTTCTATGGCGCGCTTGTGCGCAGAGTGTTCATCAGGGTTGATGGTGCAGGCATGGTTTAAGTTTTTCTCAAATAAATAGAAATAAAATCAGAAAGTGAGTGGATACTGTTTGGAACATGCCCTGGCCCGTTACTGCATAGTAACTGCATTTGAGTTTAATGTATTTGCTATTCTTCTACAAGTATATTATATAGAGTTAATGCTTTTCTCCTTTTTATATGTGTTACTGTTTAAGGACCTGCAAACATGGTAAAAAGATGAGATATTGTTTGTTGACTATCTTATATATTGGTGATATTGCTAATTTTGGAATTTTTATCTACTAGTCTATTTCTTGAATCTTATAAACTTTATACCAATATGCTCATGAGGATTTGATATAGCATTCCTTTTCATTCAGACTTCTGCACTAAAACTTCAAATCTGAAATGCAGTTTTGTTTCTCTTCATTTTGAATTCTTGGTCAATCTTAAAAGTTAATTGTAACTAGGCCCGTATAACAAAAAAATTCTGAGGCCCTTTGTGAGATTTCCGGATCATACTGATTAAGTTAGTACCATAATTGTTGTTAATTATTGAATTCAGCTGTCTTTTTTTCCCTTGGAAACATGTCCTTATGTTTTTTACAGGAAAGGCATACCACAGTAATGGTTGACATGATATTATGTTCAAATCTGCTAGAGTCTGTTAGGCAAATATAAAATTTCTTTTATAAAACGCTATTTCACAAAAATTGTTTTTTCTGGTAGCAGTGTTCAGAATTCTTTTACTGCCTCCAGCTTGTCTAAATTTACAAGGAGCCCGAAGAGGCGCACAAAAAGTCGATGGGAGCCTGTTGATGATGAGAAGATGGTGGAGAAATTGGCATCTGCCAATTATGATTTGACCAAGGGTGCTGGAAAAGGGGTAAATTTTTTTTGTTCTTTCTATTGTCTCAGAAGTGCTCTTTTTGTGGACCATTGTACATTCATTACAGTTTAAGATGGTTCCTAATTAATTAATTTGCTTATTTAAATAATTTTTTTTACTTGTTCAAGATGTTACTGTTCTGATTACTGTTGCATATCATAGGCTTTAAACTCCGACTTGGTAATGTTAATTTTTGTTTCTACATTTTTATCAACTTTTCACAGGTACATAATTGGAATAGGAGTAACGATAACAGTCCAAATGGGCTTAAGTTTGTTTCGCCTAAACAGCAAACACCATTAAGTAAAATTGCTCAGAGGCCAGTGAAGAAACCCCGATATGGTGATAGTACAAACACAGAAAATGGTGATGTTTGTGATAATGATGAGCAAAGTTTGACCAAATATTATGCCAGTGCAATTGCACTAGCAGATTCACCAGATGAGAAGAGGAGGCGTGAACATCGGTTTAAGCGTTTTGAGAATGCACAGGAAAATCAAGCAGAAACTAGGCATTATAAGCCAAAAGCTTCTGGAGCTGGTAATACATACACGAGAAGGGCAAGCGCTATGCTCATTGCTAAAAGCTCTGAAGCTAGCTGTACCAGGGCTGTTGAAGATTTTGACTGGGATGCCCTTACAGTGAAGGGAACCTGCCAGGAGGTTGAAAAGCGCTATTTACGTCTTACATCTGCTCCTGATCCTGCTACTGTAAGATATACCAGAAGTTTCCCCTGCAGTTTCATATTTTATTTGTTCAAAATGCTGGTTTTATGTTTTATAATTACGTTTTCACGTGAAAAGATATTTCATACAGGTGAGACCCGAAGAGATCTTGGAAAAAGCTCTTCACATGGTTCAGGCTTCTCAAAAGAACTATCTTTACAAATGCGATCAGCTTAAATCCATACGGCAGGACCTAACAGTACAGAGAATACAAAATGAACTAACTGTCAAGGTTCTTGTTAACTTGTTTCCTACTGTAGTGAGATTTACCTCTATTCCTAACCGGCATCTGCGTGAATGTTTTTCCCCTGTCATAAGTGTTAATATAATGTGCCAGTTCCATTTAGATCTCTTATTGGTTTAATTCTCTATAATGCATGATAGCAGTTATCACTAGTTGTCTAACAGTACAAAGGTATTGATATTATGCATAATATTATTATCCTTTTATTGCTTTAGGTGTATGAGACTCATGCACGGTTAGCTCTAGAAGCTGGAGACTTGCCAGAGTATAATCAGGTAGGTTTACATGCCGTTTGAATCTATTGCTCATGCTCTCTTGTGTAGTTAGGGCCAATTGCCAACTTATACTGCAGTGCTATATAAAAGTTCAGAAGAGATGGAGCATGAAAACAGAAGTGTCATTTTCTTTCCTATTTGTTTTGTATGGTTCTATGTTAGCATACACATCCTGTTTGACTGTTTGATATAAGCAAGGAAAATGAAATTTGTCGTATATGTATGCTATCCAAACATAGAGTTTCGTAATTTTACATTGTTGGGATCTCGAAAGCTACTAGGAAACTTTACTACCATAATCTGCTGGCTTGAGCAGTGCACTAACACAAGATTCTCCCCTTTTACTTTTGAGTGCTCAGGTGTGTACTTCGTGAACCATCAGCTAATGTTTTCATTATTACATAGACATGCTAACAGGGTCCATGCTGTTAAATGTTACTGCACCTGTAAATGAATATAGGGAAGTTTTTGGTTTTTAATTTTTTTTTTGACGACAACCGTGTGAATGTTAATGTAGCCCTTCATCTACGAACTAGTGTGGTCTTCGAATTGTGTACACATTGGACAGTTATGAACAACCAATAGTTCCTCAATCTCCATCAAATAGCTTCATTGTGAATTAACCTATAAGTGAACATGATTTTCCTCAATCACTTGGTGTTCTTAAGTCTTGAAATTAATGTAAACCTTCTTGCTTGACATTGGATCAGTTTTCTTAGTTGTAGTTCTACCTATGTGCCTGTAGAGTAATCATGTACAAAGTCAATTTCTTCAATTAAAGCAATTGAAAACTACCAGATTTTGGCCGAGAATAATCTTGGTAGCTAAACTGCAATTGACACCAAATTTTTTAGGCGAAGTTGAGATTATTAGGTTACATTTGCCCCCTATTTTGCATTAATAGGCCTGCATTATGTTTCACTTGTAGTGCCAATCGCAGTTGCAAAGCCTCTACGCAGAAGGAATTAGTGGATGCTACATGGAGTTTTCTGCTTACAATCTGCTTTGTGTTATATTACACTCCAGTAACAAAAGAGAACTCTTGTCAGCGATGGCGAGGTAATCAGCAAGTTTCCAAAATATTTCAATGCTTTGAGAAACTTCATGTATGAGTGATCATATTGATGTTTGTTCGTGGGAGAGTTGGTACGCTTGTTACATAACATGTCTTGATGTTTGCTCAGTATTTTGAATTGATCATATTGTTTTCTTTTTATTGTCTCTTAACTGTTCTCGCTTGGTTTTTGTATTTTTTTAAATAATTAAGCATCTTATTTCCAATTTTGTTTGTTCTATGCATGTTTGTTGCTGTTAGAATTAATATAAAACAATAATTTTTGATCCTCACTATAACATTGGAATTTTGGTGTAATGGTTTGATTGATTTAATTTAAGATGGTATCAGAGCAATGTTCAAATCCTACGGGCCACGAATTTAGATCGGATTTTTTAAAAATTGACGCCGATGCATGAGTCCATGAGTCCAGTTTCGACTCATAAAATAAGGCGCTCAACTTGTGGGGGCATGTTAGAATTAATATAAAAATATAATCGTCTATCCTCACCATGACCTTAAGAATTTTGGTATAATAGTTAGAGGGATTGAATTTAAGAGTTGGTTTTGTTTACTGCTTTTGATAGAGAAGATTCACTTGCTTTCTTGCTCGTTATTTAAAAAAAAAAGCAGAATACATGTAGTTAGCAGCCCTAGGTCTGAAGAGATGGGCCTTCTGGGAAATCTGGGGTTTAACAACTAGTTAAGGAACTGAGGTAGAAGAAGCAGGTCTTGTAGGATGATTACTTAAAATAAGAGCATAAAAGATAATGTCACTTATTTGAGATTGCTAGCTGAATATAAAAACCTAAACAAATATCAAATCTCAAAGGTTAAATAATCTCAGAGTGAGATTAGAATTTTTTTTAATGAATCTTCTATCTGACAGATTTCCTTCCGAATTCTACATCTTTATCTATGCAACTGAGTTCAGGCTTTTTCTATTAAGTTTTTTTAATACCTAACTGCAGGTTATCGAGAGAAGCTAAAGAGGACGCTGCTGTGAAGCATGCCCTTGCTGTAAGCTCCGCCGTTTCATCAGGAAATTATGTCCAATTTTTCAGATTGTACAAGGCTGCTCCCAACTTGAACACTTCCCTTATGGGTCTGTCCCTCTTGTTACTGTGTGCATTGAAGATTATCTTTTAAATAATAGCAACAACTGCTTACTAACTTTGTGGTGCAGATCTCTACGTAGAGAAGATGAGATTCAGTGCTATCAAATGCATGTGTAAATCATATCGTCCTACAATCCCACTTTCATACATTGCTCAGACATTAGGCTTTTCAAGGGAAGCACAAATAGCGGATGGTGAAGATGAGGATGCAATTAAGTTGGAGGAGTGCGAGGAATGGTTGAAGGCACATGGCGCAGTTCTTACTGTTGATGGTAGTGGAGAACACCAGGTAGATACAAAGGTAAGTTTAAAATTTTCATTTGATTGTCACAAGGGTGGAAATTTAAAGGGCTGAAATCTTTATCTATCAGTAATCCAAGAGGGTGAATTTTCTTTTTTTTTGAATGTCAGCATCCACATGCACATACATACGCCCAAGCACTAACCAGACCCATTAACCGATTGCACCAGCATACCATCACTAAGCACCTTTGGTTGGCACTCAGACATAAAACAACACTGCCAACCCATCCCCACTGCCATAAGGTGGCAGTATATATCTCGGTGTAATGAAGTTTAAAATAGTGTTCCTAGCAGCGGCAATGTTTATGCCTGCGTGTTAGCTTGAAGTTCTCAGCAGTATTATATTTTAGGGTTAATCGCACATAGCCCCCCTGTGGTATTGTTTTTGTGAACTTACTACACCAGTAGTTTCATTATTGCAGATAGGCCCTCTGGCTTTTTTTTGACTATTCTACCCTGGATGAAATTTTGACAGATATTGGCTATGGGTGAAATTAGTGAGTGTATCTGAGGGTGTAAAAGAAAGGGAGTCTCTCTGCAACAGTGAAACTATGGGGGTAGTACCGTAGTAGGTTTAAAACAATGATACTACAAGGAGGGTGGGGGAGGGGGTCTATGTGCGGTTACTGTATATTTTAATTTCATCTCCATGTTTCTACTGATGAAGTGATTTTTTTTTTCCAATTGGAGGGAAGTGTTGCGCCTTTGACTTAACTTGTTGCTTTGCTATTGCCTTTCAGGTTACTGCTCCCAGTCTATTCATGCCAGAACCTGAAGATGCAGTTGCACATGGAGACACAAGCCTTGCTGTTGATGATTTTTTGACTCGGGCAGTTTCTTGAAGTTTGGCCAACTTGTGTTTCTCTTTTGATGTACGATGATGATACAGCGAAGGTAAGGGTCCAAGGCCGTGCGTCCTTAACCCAGAGGAGGAAATGAATTTTCTCTTAATTACTATTACGAGAATGCTCGATTAATTGCCCCCCTGACCACGAGTGCAAGGAGCGAGAGAACAAGTAACCTCGAATGAATCAACAATGGACGTCTTTGATTTTTACATGGCTTGCGGCAACTTTTCCCATGCCTACGTATGTTCTTGTTCTGAAACCCAATTCCTGAGAGCCAGCTTGTTATGCTGATTTTGTGTTTGGATTCTGGGATCAGTAGTGTTGTATACCCCGAAAAGAATATGTTGTAAGATGATGCCCAAGCTTAAGAGTTGTACCCTTTTACTGATTTGAAGCTAAACTGCTCATTGTTACAATTATTTAATTCTTTGTGTTACGTAAAATTATGTGTGTAATCATGATCAATGAATTGCATATTATTATTATTATTATTATTATTATTATCATCACTATGTACGGTATAATCATTAGATTGATTACTGTGAAAAGCTAGGATATTTGTTCACGAGCCAATTCAGGCCTGGTACAGCTTTGCAGATCGTTTCCTTGCTAATAGCATTCTTTCAGTTATATATGAGGACACTGGGATGACAACCTACGTAGCAAACACTTATCAATGTTATCATTTATCACTTGTTTAGGGGCTGTTTGGTTCATTTCTTAGAAATCTAAGTTTGGGAGGTTACTTATGGAAAATAGGCCGTGGGATCCATTTTCATGTTTTCAAACCAATTTTATGACTTTCCATATATATTAGGCCACAGGCGACTGAAAGTTGCGAGCTGCCATATATATAACCATTATCATCTGCCCGTTGTCATCAAGAAATTTTCAAAATAGTCTCAAACGAATTTTTTTTTCTGAAAATAAACTCCCTTTCATTTTTATTACAGAAATAGACTCACTTTCTGATCACGTCAGAAAGTGAGTTTACTTTTTTTTAAACGTCTTCCTAACTAGTCGGGGTTGCCAACCCCGACTAATTCAGACTTGCAATTTGCCAGCCAAATTAGTCGGGGTTAGCAACCCCGACTAATTAGGAAGGCGTTTTAAAAAATGGACTCATTTTCTAGCCACGGTGCTAACGTGATCAGAAAGTGAGTCTATTTCTGTAATAAAAACGTAAGATGGTCAATTTTTTTTTAAAAAAAAATTGGCTTGGGGCTATTTTGAAAATTTCTTCGTCCCGGCCATCTTTGCCGACCAATATCTTATCTTTTCCTCTTTGATCCACACAATCCAGTCCAGAAAACTCCCTTCAACCCGACCCTTTAACTCATAGCGGGTCTGCAGCGCCGTTCCATATATGCATATATACACCTGCAACAAATCAAAGTTGTGAATAGGTTATACAAGAGCGATGCATTCTGCGCAAGTAGGTCGCATGCTAAATTCAAGAGTTGCTTGTTTTTTTTTTCTGTAGGATCAGAATATTTGAGACCAATGTCAGCTGATTGCTCAGCCAACACGACATTCTGAAACATGTGAGAAAAGGTAATGCCTGATGCATTCTGAAACATGGGGGGTAAATTTGCAGATTTAAAAGTTGACACTAAAATGAATTGACGAGTTGCATTCTGAATGTACATATGTATACCATTCCACATCAACACTTACACATAAGTTCCAACAAGTATATATATATAGACCAAAAAAATGTTTATTTTACTGAATCTGAACATATAGATATGCATAGAACATTATAAATATATATATATATATATATATATATATATATATATATATATATATATATATATATATATATATATATATATATATATATATATATATATATATAATAAACTCAAGCATCAGAGATCAGTAATGTCCAAATCTAATAAGGTATACAAACATCTTTCGCAAATGATGAACTAACATACACATTGTCAGTGCACTGAAGATGAAGTTTTAACTGGCTCCGAACAAGGATACACGCATAAAAGTGAGGGTTAATTCTAACCTATAGATATAACACATGCACCATTATCTTAGTACGCTGCTACTATATCCTAACAAAGAGCAAAAGTCACTCTCCAAATTAATATGAACATAGTTGAACCGCTGAAGAAGCCTCGGGCCCTTGCGAAGCATACCGAAGGGAAGATAAGCACGGTCCTCATTAAAATGAGACACAGATGGATACGCGGGAGCTGAGACTGAGGAATTAAAGTGAGAACATGCATGATTCTGACAGGATCCTATTCAATCTGGAAGGAAAAGGAGAGCAATGCTGGGGCCAAAGAACTTGCAACCAAAAAAAAAGTACTGGGAAAAATGAGTACTCAAATCTTAATTTTTGCAGTAATGAACAGCTGTAGCAGGATTCTTTTCAAAAGGGTTGATGCTCCTTGTTGAACGATTGCTTTGGTGGATTTCTGTCAGATTTCTGAAGCCCGTTTCAGGGGTGAAGAGTCCTGATCACACTGAGGCATTGAAGGAAGCAAACAACAAGGATGAGATGTAAGTTGACTGCAGGCTAGGAATTGAGGCAAATTTAAAATACAAGGGTTCATTTCTGTTGAGATGCCGAGAACATAAAAGTCAACAACTTGCCCAATTGTTTTAAGAAAATTTTCCAAGAAATAGAAGTAGATAAACTCAGCTACTCACTAACATCCATGTTAATTACTCGGGTACTTTAGAGGAGGAGATACACAAATGTCTGCTCGTCAATCAAAAACATCCTTGATAAAGACCAGGGATCGATCAGCATTCCGAAGCATCATGCAAACCAAATCAGAGAAATTTTTTTTTTTACTTAATTTACCACCGAAAATAATCGCGATGTGAGGTCCATCGACAGTTCAGTCGGCTCAACCTCGCAAGAAAAGCCTAGCCATGAAAAGACCGTGTATATATATGTAAGCATGATAATGTTAACGAGGATATACTAGTTTTAAAACCTCTGATTAAAATTAAAGTAGCCGAAGTTTAAACCCTATAGTACTTAAATATGGTTGCAATCCTATTTTAAGCTAGAAAATTAAAGTACGTTTTAAAATAGACAGATGTAACAAAAAAAGTAAGGTTCCAAATGTTCTGAAAATAGCGTGCACGTGTTACATGAGAATTTCCGGGCGAAATTCTCACGTTTGCATCTCACTGGGGTATTGAAGCGCAACATTTAGAAACTTTGGACGTACTTCGGTGCAATATTGTTTTGTATCTAAATGTAGGGTTTTAAACTTTGGATATTATGGTGTAATATCAAGTAACTTTAAATTGTGGAATACCGATGGCATATTTAGTAACTTTAAATTTTGTAATTTTACCCATATCATTCCGTAATCAAAGAAATTAAACAGTCAACTACGTGCTAAGAAAACTATATCTGGACTGAGATAAATTACACATAAATACATAATAATTATCACCATACGTTACGAGTCTAATAGGAGAATAGAATTACAGCTAAAGAGAATGAAATTTGGAGCTACAATCAAGCCCATTAGCGGTCCCGTTGGACACAAAGAATTTAAGCCCACAGTGCAAATGGGTCCAGAACTCGACGGGCGTAACGGAGCCCACCTTCCACCGAGTCCGGGCCTTACCGTCGAGGCCGAAGGTAATCGAGTCCCTCTTCAAACTTGCATCCATCTCATCCATCCCCATCTTGCCCAACGGCACCGAGGCCGACGCCACGACGTAATTCAGCACGACC